CGCATAACCCACCCGCACCTGAGTTTCTCGACCTTGCCGACCAGTATGGCCTTCTAGTTATGGATGAGATCTTCGATACTTGGAACTTCCCCAAAACTGAGAATGACTTCCATCGCATTTTCCAAGAATGGCATGAGCCGGACACTCGCTCGTTCATTCGTCGTGACCGTAATCACCCCTCTATCATCTCATGGAGTGTGGGCAACGAGCTTCCCGAACAATCCAACTCGACTGGTACCGAGACTGGAAGGACACTCCAGAATATCGTTCGTGAAGAAGACTCAACGCGCCAAGTGACTATCGGCATGAACGAGGCTGATGCCGACACGGAGATTGCTGCCGTTATCGATATCGTTGGTCTCAACTATCAGGGTGAGGGCAAAGGAGACTCCTGGGTAGCAAGTTTCCCCGGTTTCAAAGAAGCCTTCCCAGAGAAGATGATCTGGAGTACTGAGTCAGCATCTACCCTCAGCACCCGCGGCAAATATCTCTTCCCTGTTACTGCAAACAAGAGTGCTATCGTCGGTGGCGGGCCACTGGAAGGCGGAGATCCAGAGACCAACATCGTAAGCTCCTATGATCTTTATGCACCAGAGTGGGCTGCATCACCCGACAAGGTCTTTGAGCAGCAAGACAGACACCCCTACGTTGCTGGCGAATTCGTCTGGACTGGCTTCGATTACATTGGTGAGCCTACACCTTATGCCAACGAAAGTCGTAGCTCCTACTTCGGCATCATCGATCTCGCTGGTTTCAAGAAGGACCGCTTCTTCCTCTACCAAGCCCGCTGGAGACCAGACTTCCCGATGGCACACATCCTTCCACATTGGACATTTTCCGAAGACCGTATTGGCGAGATCACACCCGTCCATGTCCACACATCAGGTGACGAGGCGGAGCTGTTCGTCAACGGCATCTCAGCTGGCCGCCAATCCAAGGGTAAGTACGATTACAGACTCCGTTGGGATGGGGTACAGTACCGTCCTGGAAATATCAGCGTTGTCGCATACAAGAACGGCGAGGAATGGGCTAGGGCATCGCAGTTCACAGCTGGTTCCGCTATGACACTCAACGTGACTGCAGACCGCACAACGATCGCTGGTGATGGCTATGATCTCTCGTTCATTACTGTGTCTGTGCTCGATGAGAACGGTATCGTGGTTCCTGATGCGGCCGACGAGATTAGTTTCGAGGTCACGTCTGGGCAGGGCGTTATTGTTGCTACAGACAACGGTGATCCAACAGATATGAGGCCGTTCCCAGAATCGACGAGGAACGCCTTCAGCGGAATGGCATTGGCTATTGTAAGGAGCGAAGCGGGTGCTAGTGGAGAGATTGTTGTTGAGGCAAAGGCCGAGGGACTAGAAGGTGGCAGAGTGGTGCTCACCGCTAGCTAGATATGCCATTATGATATAGGATACTACTACAACAATAATACAGAAACTTTCCAAAGAGAGAACCCAAGAAGCAAGACTAAAATTATTCGTCGTCTTCGTAGTCCATCTCTTCGTCTTCGTCATCTTCATCATGGTCGTAATGATTCTCGTCCTGCAATCCCATGTTAGCATCCTTCTATATGCAATCAAAGGAAGAGCAAGATTGTGATGCTCACGTACCTCGTCCCCTTCCATTCCACTAGTATTTTTCAACTCATCCATATCCCACACACTTTCTGGCAATCCTGCGATCCCCACATCCCTCTGCACAGTAATAATTCCAAACTCCTCAACGCCACAGAAGCCTCCACCCCTCTCACTCTTGCCAAAGAATCCCACAATAACCTCATTAGGGCTGGGCGTCAACTTCACAATCTCCGAGTGATGCCTCGTGTTGAGCTCGCCCGCGCTTGTGCCGTTGCTGAGATGCATCCTTACACCATCCCTAGGGTTGACTTCGATAGAAGTAATCTCCACTCCTTCGGGGAGGCGTAGCTTCTCGGAAGCGTGACCACCGAAATGGTGTTTGCTGCCATATGTACGCATAGGTCCCCAATGGCTTGTGTGGCCATCTGCATACTTCACCACACCTCCATCCCATAGACATCCTACTCTCAGATCGATGGACACGGCGCGGTGCACTTTTCCGTCCTTGCCCTTCTCGTGAAGGAGCTGTGCCCATTCATATCGACGAGCGTTGTTGGACTCATCAGGGAAGGCTAGGCGCTTTACGAGTCGAATATTGGAGCCTGGGATGCGGATGAACGTTTTGCTGGCGAGGACCTTCCATACGTTGCCGATGCTGGTTTCCTTGCCGTTGAAGGCGAGTATATTGAGTTGTAGGGGTTTAGATCGGTCAAAGCGCTCTTCAAGAGCGGATTCCATGTACTCCATGCGCTTCGGTGCGCTGTGAATCCAGCCAAGGGGTTGGGTTGTCTCTGTGTGGTTGAAGGTGATGCGTACGATACCGCTGCTTGAGCCGATGACGAGTTTTGATGGACCTTCATCATCGATTTGCTCAGCGTAGGCCTCGGGGGATGCATGGCGTTCTTCGTCGCTGATTACGGGGTCAATGGGAAGGCGGAAATGAGGCAGCATGCGGAAGGAGAGCGCATCGGCTAGATTCCAACGAGCTTTGTTAGGTGTGCTATGAGGGTCGACAAGTACGCCTTCTGCTTTGAGGCGACCAGAGTACGCGGTCTTGGGGAGAAAGTTCTTGGGCCAGTCTTGTGCATATCCGCGCTCCATGATGCCTGAACGATGAGGCGATCCAAGTGCATGGCCGACTTCATGGAGGAAAGCGCCTTGGCCAATGGCGCACGCTTCCCACATGGTGTTGCATTCTCCATTGTCATCACCTACCTTGTCTCCAGGTTTACGGATATCTGTAAGACAACCTGTGACTTCCTCTAGGAAGCGCGGCCAGGAGTAGGCCAGATGGCTACCGAACATGCCCAGCGAGATTCCATCGGGGTTGTGGCAACCCAAAGCTGCGTGTCCGAGGATCAGCTTCTGCGACACATTGTAGTGTGAGTCGAGAATCAATCCAGCAACGATGGGATGGGCCTCAGAAGCAAACGGTCCTCCCTTTTCCTTGAGCGCTTCCAGAAAGTAGTCGAACAAGCCATTACTGCGACGGGCGGAAGGATTCTGTTGTGCAACCTCCTTATCGCGGATTTCTTTGACGGTTCTAGAAGAGCGAATGATGTTGACTTTGGCCGTCGATCGCATGGCACCTTCGCCATCGAGAGCCCCGTCAACTTGCGCATTGAGAAAGTCACGACTGATCGTGTCAGCTGTCCATTCCTCATCCAATCTGAACGATCGGCGTCCAGCTCCTTGCAGCCTCAGGTCTTCCGCAGTCATAGCTTGCCACATATAAGCTGCCATGCGGACCTTGGCGATTGCTGCGTCGAGGTCTGAGTGTGCCGAAGAAATCCCAGCGGCCTTTGAAGGTGGGCAGTCGATGATGCATGGAGAGTCTGCGGCAACCATTATGGCGAGGTGAAGAGGTGGACATTGCAAGAGCGGAATGTAGTTGACATTCATCTCGATGGTGTGTTCGAGGCAGTCATTGCAGACGTATGCAAATTCGAGGATATTCTGCCCTGGCGAGAGCATAACAAGAGCCTTGAAGTTACCACCTGCTATCGGCCACGTCTGCTCGGGAAACGATTGGGCGTTGTTGGCACCTTTAGTAGCGACATGGATGTAACTGCCTTCAGCGACGGGAAGCGTAAAGGTACCTGTAACCAAGAGGCAGCGCTATGATATGTGTTAATTGTAGCCTGTCAACCCAGAGAATGTAATGTACCTGATGAATTGTTTCCCCGTCCGTCAGATTGGTGATGTGGAGAGGGCTTGCAATTGGCGCCATCTTGTTGAAATCGTAATAATATATTGCTGGTAGCGCGTTTCGATGATATTGTGTGAGCGATGTGAAAACAATGTAAAACAATGTAGAAAGAGTTGGTGATGTGTGTAAGTTGTCGTCTTTCTGTGAGTCTTATATGCCATCTCAAATAGCCGTAGGCGATGGTCAGTACTCCCTAGTATATATTAGCGTTCAGGCAGCCGTCCCGAAACGGCTAGTCTCAGGGTGCTGCCTCACCAATGACGCTTGACAACATCCCCAAATTAGAGTCACAATCTAGACTGCTCGGATGCTAGAGAACGTGAGATATTTCAGGCGCTCCACCAATCGACGCGACACTGAATTGCGCTGATAATTCGACAATATCTACCAACACCCATTACATCACCATGCATTCCTCGTTCGCACCTCCCAGAGCGCGACCCATCATCGATTTGAGCGCCTGAGCCTTGAACATCGCCTCTAAATCGGCATCTCCAGTCGTGCCCTCAGTCTGTGTGACAGCGTCCGCGAGTGCATCCTTCTTCTGTTGTTTCTGCTCTGCCGTCCAACCTTTGTACAAATTGTCGATACTTAGGGGTCCATCATCCGTAAGCAATCTTGCGGCTCTCTTGTGGTACTTCACCATGTCCATCAGGCATACCTCGCTTCGCGGGCATCCCAGCCCGCTGTCTTGCTGCTGTAGATATTCAAGCATTGCCTTGCGCGCTATGTCTATGAAGTGAGGGTACTTTCCTTCGATCACGGACGTGGAGATGATGGCATTTGCTGCACGTTGCGCCGACTTTCCGAATTTTGAGAAGGAGCTGTCCCAAGCTGGGTCACGCTCGAGCGCTTTGTAGGTAGCTTTCCATGTATCCGAACATTGCCGCTGCATCAACGCTCCGTTGAAACAAAGGTCTGGCATGTCGGCCTGCAGCCAGAAAGCAAAATGTTGCAAGATGGCAATAGGAGTTAGCCCTTCTTTTCCGTTCAACGGTTCTAGTTTCAGTCCCTGCTTCTCCTGGGAAGCTTGCATTGCGCGAGCGAGACGGCCGCGAGTTGCATTGGGAGATGATGCTGCAAGAAGTGCCTTGGCAATGGTGTCGATTTTACCGTTGAAAGCTCCGCCAGGTTTTTTATTGATCCAGGAGGCAACTGCACCGCGTGGCAAGTAGACAGAATCCCCAAACACGCTTGCATCTCTGAAAAATCGTGTCTTGTTATTCGGATCATATCTAGGCTTGCCTAGAAACTCATCGCTGAAGTTCAAACGATCGAGAGCATATGACCCCACTTGCTTGAGAGTGGGCTGGCCAGTAGCTATATCGAAGAGTGTCCATGCTTCCTCAGGCGACTCAGGCGGCCTTTTGAGTAACAGGTATCAAGGATCTTGGCTGAAGAGCATGAACTCCATGTCGGGCCACACTGGATCGGAAGGGCTTCTCAGCTGTGTGCCCATGTAGACATGGGCCATGAAAAGGATAGAACATGAGGTTGCTTCATGTGATATGCCAGCCGCGTGCCAGTGGACGAGAAAGTGGTACTTCATCATACCGCAAAGCAGAGGATTGTGTCTATACAGGTAGAAAGGCTCGCTCTTCAATTTCCTGAAGATTGGATGCCCACCGACGTTTGGATCTTTCTTGAGCCTTTCCCATTGTTCATCAAATCCGTCATAGTTCGCCCATGGACTCTGCAGAGGTGAAGATACAAAGTTAGTGTACCTTTCTGATGGATTTCGTACACGCACAACTTACCATCTCATTGTATGCCTCTTTGAAAGGATTGTAACATTCATACTGGGCTTCTTTCGGCATCATTGGATCTTCCCAGTCCTCTATAGTTTCCCGCTGCGATCCGCTCAAGTGGTTCAGGTAGACCTGAAGTTCAAAATGTGGTCGGTGAGTTCTTTCGCCCAAGATATCTTGCGAATCAAAATGGAGCTGGACGCCATATGTAAGCCACATTGGGATCGTGTGCTCGCTAAGCATGTCCAAAAGACCTCTAGAGACCATGTCTAGGAGTGGCGGGCGTTTAACCGCTTTTGCAATGATCCGCATAACTTGCGCGAGTTCGATCGCTCTCAACGTTCGACTGTGGATGTTGGCATCACCGAAGTCCTTCGGAACCACTTGTGGAATTGAGTTCGTCTTAGTAATGTGCTTGTGGAGATAAAATTTCAAACCAGCGAACACTGGCCAAAAGTCAAAGTACGCTTCACTCTGGGCATCGGCTGTAACTCCAAGCTTGGCAGAAGGCTTCGCAATCTCCTCGAGGGGCCATTGGTGCATATCTTCGTGGTTGTTGTAGAAGAGAACAGCGGGGAGAGTCCAAACCGGATATTCAGCCTGTGAATATTTCTTTGGCCGCGTTACTAACAGGTCAAACTTCGCTTCCGCACCCTGAGCAAGTTTGATAGCAGTATCCGTGGTCATGGCCGCCACAACCAAGTCGACTTCACCGCTCCTATATTTCTGCCAGTTCTCACGTACCACCTCTCTCATGTCTTGTTGCTCTTGTAGCATGAGCGCAACAGCAACCCAGAAGTCGTCTTCTTTGTCCTCCTCGACTTCCTCAAAACTTGACGCCGGAGAATTCGGAAAGTGTGTCTTCAGCGATGTCTTCCTCATCGGCTACCGCTGCAAGCTCGTCGACGGTCAATCCCGCAAAGCGATTGCGAGACGACAAGCCCGACGTAGTAGTATCGGAAACGTTGTTTCATGCAGGTTCTGGTCCGCCCGTTCCGAGAAATGGTTTGAGAGATGCGAAGGTGTCTTCAAGAACCTTGATAAAGTATTCGTGCCGCAGATCACTTTTCGTGTCTCCATGGACTCTCGCCTTGTACCACTGAGATACTTTTCGACGTGTCTGAATGGCGCGACTGAAGTGCCGGCATAAAGCAACGGGGACCATGATCTCAGACTCTGCTTGTTCTCCAGCTTTTGCGATCGCTTCTGCCATCGGTACAAAATCCGACACTCCAAGTTGATACACTGTGCTACTGCTTCCACCTGTCGCTTTCTGTTTGTCTTTCCCCTTCGCACCCTTTTTCGACTTCGATTTGGTCTTCTGCTGTTTTTGGTCTTTCGTTTTGACATCGAAGCCGATGGACGCGGCGGTTTCGGCGATCCATCTTGCGATTGTAGAAGTGGCTTTCTTGTACAAGTGGTACTTGGCGAGAAAGATCTGTGGCTCGTTGAGACCCGACGTGGTGTGAATAAATTGGAGAGGGGGAGTAGTGGTTTCAGTCCTCGATCCTTCCAACCTGTGATTGATGCAATAGAATAGCGGTTCCTGACATAGAGGGTACGCGGTTGTAAACGGCGGGGAAATTTTAGCGTACACGTCTCGTGACGGCCCGTTGCGACCCACAACAATTTAGATGCAGAACCACTCCCCAAAACCATTGGTGAAGTCTCCGATAAAGCTGCCCTGATCAGCCAGATGCGGGGCACCTGGCAGCCGGTTCATGATCGGACGTGTCGGGATGATCGGAGCAATTTCCTCAGGTCGCTACCTAGGTACTCGGATAGTCCGCCCACCGGAGGGGATCCGCCCTGAAGGGTGTCGCTTGCACCAGAGAGGTCCAAAGATGGCTGACAATCTTGTAAGTCAGATTGTCCGCTAGAAGAAGTTTATTGTAGATCTGTGCGAAAAGCGTGTCGTCGTAGGTTGGTGCTACCTGGATCGGTAACCGCGTGACGTCACGCGTCGAAATTCTGAGGTCTCCAGCTAGCTTCACGAGCTTCGCAACCATCGTTCGGACATTTCACTGCATAAAAGTGTCCCACCGGATTTTAAGAGTGCTTGTGATGATGCAATACTCGCTCGTCGTATTGCTCTATGTGCAGCATTTGCGTATCACCCCTTGTCCAGCCCGTCCACGACGCGCGCCAGCTCAAAAACAAATCATCATTCCAGTACCCAGCCTTTGGTCAAGGTGTCACTACCTTCACTACTGCCCGTGTGGGCCAGCTACGAGCCAATACTCAAGACCTCCCACTTCTGCGACACAACTACCGAGCGCAGCGTCAAGATCTTACACCCACGATGCGCACGCCTTCTCCTTGCAATGTGAGCCTTGAGATCCTTCTGTGTGTTGTTGGGCGGTGCCATCCTCGCTTTCTTCTTCGGTGGAGGAGGGGCAACCATGTCTCTCTCCTGTCTTATTGAGCTTTCTTCCACATTGGTCGCACTGTGCGCGATGTCTTCTTTAGTAACCATGCCTGTTTTCACTGCAGTAACAGCTTTCTCGATGTCTTCTAAGCGACACAAGCCTAGCTTTGCTAACACCTCCGCCTCTACCTCTGGTCCATACGCCATGCGGAACTGGTTGTCGAACATGCGCTTCACGGCTAGGGGGCCGACATGCATCATCTTGCATGTTGGGAAAATTGCGAGCTCGAACTGCTGTGCCATCGAACGCAGGAGCGTATCGTCGACTTCGTCGCGGTCGATGATAGGAAGCTCATTGCGGAGCTTGCCGATGATATCGTGTTGCTGGTCGATGTTGAGGTTGGCGGCTTTGTACTGTTCGAATGTGTAGTCCGCAATACTCGGTTCGAGCTTTTCAGATGGGGTGACAACAGGTGGCGTAAAGGTAGGTGGGTGTGCAGGAGAGCCGAGCCTGATGTCATTTAGACCGCCTAGGCGCACTACGATCTTCCCTCTTTTGTCCCTGCTAATCTGACGGTTGAGCATATTGATATGGCGCGCTATTGGTTGAAATATCGAAATGACTGGTTGTGGAGGATCTAGGTAGCCGAAGATCTTTATAGACAAAAGGTGCTTTGCATATGAAGAATTGGCTTCTCCTTTCACCTCCATCTCCATGTGCGTCTACTTCTTCGCTTTCTGAAATCTTGAGGATTACGAATGGATCCGGAGTTGCACTCTTGTCATGATGACCGTTGCAAAGCACGATGAATCAATGTGGTTCGGCGTTTAAGTCCTGCTTCTGTACAGGTATCGCGAAAGCCGGAGTTGAAATCGTTGCATCCTACACTGCAAGCTAGATGTGATGAGATAAAGTGAACAAATACATGGGGTAGATAAGGCAGCATCACATCTTATCAATGCATGTGAGATATATATGTGGACAACATCCGGGTTTTATGAGCGCACTATAGGTCTTGGTAGCTACTCGCGGGGCTAAGGAATCAATAGCCGACATGCAAGGAAATAATTAAGTGAATCTGACAGTGTATGCGGTACAGGGTGCGCCTGAGCTACGTGCATTCCAGATTTGATAGGCTATAAGGTGCGCTGAAGCACAATCTTAGTTTGCTATCATTGTCAGAGATCAGACGAGATGACCACGGCTGGATGATCAACATGATATTTTGGTTGCGTATCGTCTCATTATATTTTCACAAGTGATCACATCAACGGCATTCAGACCAAATGACGCGTCTAACAAGTATTTACATGTTTAATTGAATGGTTTTGTTGTCTTATCATATGTAGCCATCACGCATATCATTCCTTCATATCAGTCTATGCTTAGAGCATGAATAGACTGGCGAGAACACCGAAGATGCTGGCGCCAACGGCGCCTTGGCCGAGACGGGCAGCTGCGTTGGTGGTCTGTTGAGGTGGCGCACCAGTTGTGGGTGAGGTACCGTTGCTAGTGCCGTTGCCAGCACCAGGGGTGTCTTCCCTCTGGCCGTCGACCTCCTCAATACGTCCGTCGAGCTCAATGTTAACCGGGGTCTGGCTCAAGATGTACGAAGTAAGAACTTCATCTTGAGTGTCCAAGGTGATGAAATCGGTCGATGGCTCGAAAAAGTTGTCACCTCCACCAGCGATAAAATCGAGAGTGACCATTTGGTAGGTGGTGTCGTTGTTCAGAGGCTCGTCGCCGATGGTGACGGAAATGAGCTTGGTGTTGTTGTCGTTCTCAGGGTTGTATTCCACCTTGATGCCAGTGCTAATCTGGAAGAACGAAGTGACTTCCCTTCCATTGCCTACATTGACACCAGTTACAATACCCTCGAGAGACTCCCAAAGAGTCTTTCCATCGATAGCAACCTGAACGATGGCGTTACCGAAGGGGAAAGAAGTCAAGACTTCGCCGCGGGTAATGTCACCCTGATCGATAGTAGCGCGAATGCCACCAGCGTTGATCAGAGCAAAGTCAACGTCGTCGGTGTTGTTCTTGCGGTAGGCGAGCATAGCATCGGCCATGAAGTCACCGAGCAAGCACTCTTGCTCTTGGCAGGTTGTCTGGTCAAGCTCAACCTCACTGGTACCGAGAACTTCAGCAGCGAACTCCTCAAAAGGAATGCGCCACTCCTCGACCTGCTCTTGAAGGTCCTCGTCCTGTTCGGTAGCGTTGGTAAGATGAATTGGGGCGCCGTTGTAAGCGAGGATCTTGCCCTGAGGGTCGTATGTAACATCAATGTAGCCGACGTATTCACCCCAACGGTAGGCAGTAACGATGAAGACTTCGTCGCCGTCCTGGTTCTCAACGATAGTCGGGTACTTGCCCTCAGCGTCTTCCATGTCGCCAAGAAGTGTGTGGCTGTGGCCACCAATGATGAGTTGAAGACCAGTGGTAGCTTTGGCAAGTTCCTGGTCTTTGTCGTAACCAATATGAGTAAGAGCAGCAATCCTGGTAATGTTGGTGGTAGCCTTGATCTTATCAATCGCGCCCTGAACGGCCTCAACGGTGTTGGAGAAAACCGTAGTAACATCAGCGTTACTCAGACTACCAGTTTCTTCAGCGGTGACACCAATGAGCGCCAAGCCGTGCTCTTCAAAGATAGTGTAAGGCTTGACAGTCTTGTTCACATTCTCATCCTGCGAATGCACGTTCGCACTGATGATGGGAAACGTGAGATTGACCAAGAATTCTCCTAGCTGGGCATCGCCGCCATCGAATTCGTGGTTACCCAGGGTCATGGCATCGAATTCGAGCTGGTTCAATGTCTCGGCAATCTTCTCGCCGCCGTAGAAGCTGTAGAACAATGTGCCTTGGAACTCATCACCAGCATTCAGCCAAAGACTGTCCTCGTAGTTGGGGCGTTGCTCTTCGATGACTGTCTTGACGCGCGCATAACCACCATAGCAACCTCGCTCTGGTCGTGTGCAATCGGTTCCTGAAGAGCTGAACTCGTCAAGATGAGCATGCACGTCGTTGATGTGGAAGAAGGCTAGGTCACGTGAGCAGAAGCAATGTTGGAGTCGAATATGCCGACATACAGATGTTGTAGTTGCCATCCGCATCGATGCCTCGCTTCACCATGCGTTTGCTGTATAGTGAATCTTCCGCTTGAGCGATCGCCGTCAGCGCCGAGAAGGCGACAAGGCCAGCGTTAGTCCCAGTGGCGAACTTCATCTTCACCTGCGTCTGGTGGAGTTGTTAACGAAAGGGTGAGAGGCGCGAGCACGACAGCAAGCTTGCATTATGGCGACCTGTCACTATATGTACCACGCGAACAAGGCGGACGTCTCCGCTGCAGTCACTCTCGCTGAGACTTGGCGGCCTTGGCAATGGCCGTGCCCCATTCTCGGCAACTGCCTCTTAGAGTTTGGCGCCCTGCGGTGTCTGATAACAATACGCCAATGAGAGACACACGTGCGACAAGTGCATACAAGATGCAGGTCCGTCGCATTTGAACCTGGATGTCGGCGTCGCTACATGTATGCAGTCTATGAAGGTTGCCGTTAACACGCGGGCTTGGTACGTACAGTATCCAATAAAGAGGTCATTTAAAGGCCTCACAGCACTGCTTTGGAACCGTAATATCCGGAGTCGAGGTTCTACTAATAGTAAGACGGGCGGACCGATGGGCGTGATAGCAATGCCGGCAACGATCCAGAAACGGTGTGCCAACCCCGGAATCCCCAAGATATGGTTTTCGGAGACTAGCGCCTCGGATTGCACATAATAGTGGGTGGGAAACACTGGGTAAGATGGATCCATATGGCGCTATAGCAATGAACTACTGCTAGCATCGCCACGGGCCGAAAACGGACCAGCAGACGCCAGGACACAAGGAACACAATACTACCATAACATCTATCAGCAACACAACCGTCATACTTTACCAGACTTTCCTACTTATCTCTAAGTCCTTGTGCAGCGCTGTGTTTTGCTTTCAGAATTCATTGTCATTAAATCAAGTTTCGTTCGCAGTGGAGTCTGACTTCACAGGTCCAGCGACGTTCACTGGAGCATAGCTGCGAGCGACGTGGTACATGTGTAATCGACAGCCATATGACGATTACGCTACAAGTACTAAGAGAGATGTCTTCAAGCGAATCAAAGCTAAGATTTAACGTACTATCCTTGATATGCAAACCCTTCCAAACACCAAGCTCGCTGGAAATACATGAAGCAAAATACCAGCCAAAACATCACCCAAATACGGTACACCTAGCTTCCAGAGTGAATTTACACCTTCCTTAACTCAGCGTCCCTTGACGACTCCTTTCCATGCCCGCCGGCGCAGTGCCAACATGGCTCACAAGCTCAGCCTCCTCGTCCCGATTCAACCGTGCGCTCAGCTCGTCTTCAAGACCAGTATTCCTCTTCCGCATCGGACTAGTGGCATCTGCAGCACTGTCGTCGACATCAAGCTCCTTCTCTTTACGTCTGACCGTGCCCATGGTCGTCACACTTGCATCATCTCCGTCAGACTTCTTTCTAGACTCTCCCTCGCCGTTGTGCACCTCGATCGTGACATCTGTATTGTCCTTGCTAAAGACGCGAAGCCCCACGACACACACGGCGTTCCAAGGATCGCGCTCGAATTCGTCTTCGTCTTCGATGTATGGGTAGCGCGCGCCGTTGTACCACACATAGCGAGGTTGGCGTTCTGAGAATATGCGGGGGATGTTGTCTTCGTCATCAGAAAGATCGGAATCGAGAGAGCAAGGGCCATCGATTTCAGAATCCCAGGAAGAGGAGTCCGACATATCCTCAGGTGAATGCATTCCGTTTTGAGCGCGGTGCGAGTAATCACTAGCACTTCGCCCACGAGTTACCTGGATACCAGGTCGGACACCAGGGATGGGAGTAAGCGTAGCCCGGCGCGAGGCAGCTGGTGATCGACGCTCGGGACGAGGGCTGAATGTCCTCTGGCCGGGGGTGCCAGGACGGAACTCATCGGTCATCGGAGTTGCAAGAGGTGTCGGTAACGGCGTAGGTATTGGTGAATCTGTCACCTGACCTTCGTTATACCCATCGCGGCCTTGGTAGGTGCCAGGCAGTTCGTTATTGTAACCACCACGGCCCTGGAATTCACCAGGCAACTGATTGTAGCCTCCCCTGCCCTGGAACTCTCCAGGCATATTTTGGTTGTAACCTCCGCGTCCTTGGAACTCACCTGGCATGTTCTGGTTATAGCCACCACGTCCTTGAAACCCTTGGCTGTGGGCGGCAGGAGAAGTTTGTGAGCTATGATAGCCGCTTCGCGCTTGGAGTGTAGTAGCCTCAGAGGTTGCGGCCCCGATACTATCACGATTGTAGCCGCCACGTCCTTGGAATGTTCCAGGAAGCGATGCGTTGTAGCCGTCTCGGCCTTTGTTGTAGCCTCCTCGGCCACCAAAACCGCCACCAGGGCTTGCTGAGCGTTCGCGATGTGGATCAAGGCTCGATGTGCGGCGATGCCTGGAAACAGCTTGGTGAACAGGCTTGACCTCTTCGTCGCCAGAAGTACGATTGTCTTCGTCAACGTTGATTCCAAGACCAGATAGGTCGTGTAGCTTTCTCTCGACTTCTGCCATCTCGCCGGATCGGTTTAGCTTGCGCGTCTCTTTGGCCGCTTTCTTCTGTTCGCGCAGCTCCGCCTTTCGGCGCAGCCTCTTACGACGTTCATGTGCCAGCCTGAGCTCAGCCTTCTTCCGCTCGGCCTTTTGCTCTTTCTCACGCTGTGCCTTATCCTTTTCTTGCTCTCTGAACTGCCCTTTGGCATGAGCAAGGTCGTAGGAAAGACCGATCGCAAGGAGCTTCTCGCGCCGCTTGGTGCATGTGGCCCGGATGACTTCATCCGGAGTTGGGTTATCTGGGATCCGCGTTGCTTTGATCTTGAGCAGGACAGTGTAGTTGCCAGCCTCGAGGTCCAGCTCTGTGGAGACAGAGCGCTTCATGTAATATGTACCGTTGCTGCGAACGATGTATTCTTCTTCATCATCCTTGTGGAGACGAAATTGCAGATTGAACTCATACTGCCCTTCGAGGCCTTGGTAGTAGCGATCATCAAGCTGACTGAGGACAATGACGACAGGGCCACCTTTAGCGAGGTGTATCCTGAACTTGGTGTCAAGGTAATCGACGCTCCAAGGAACGTTGACACTGGTCCATTGTTGAGACACCGTCCATTCCGGGCCAAAGAGCCTAGTGCGATCGAAGTGTTGATATGTGCGCAACAGGTCTTTGTAGGAGATCCAGAAGACACCATCGTCACCGAACTTATGATCAAGCTTCTTCATCCATTCCGGAGTCCATTCTTCTGAACCATCGCTCCAGCGACCAGTCCACTCGGTCCGGCCCCAGGGGTTTCGAAGCTTCAGTAATCGCTGTCCATCGATCTCGCGTGCCTCCATGACAGAGTATGCATGTTTCTCCTGAATACCCTTGCGCGCACCGTAGATACCACCCATCTGGCCACACCCGAAGAGGAACGTTTTGTTGACGTTCATGAGCTCTTCACGCCAGAACTTGTCCTTGTCCAGGATATCGGTCGCAAAGACCTCTGACGTGACACCTCCGGTGAGGTCCTCGATGCCCTCCCCAACAAAGCCTCCGTCGATGGCACTGTAATCGCCATGTGCTTTGGCAAAGGCCTTCTCGAGCAATGGTAGCCACGTCTCGTTGGGGTCACTACATTGTGCAAAGTACAGCGCTCGCGAGCCAGTTTGCATCACCGTGCGGTATTCGTCTTCTGGACTCTTGCGGTTCTGAAGCTCCAGCCAGTGATAGCGCTCGAGCTTGGCTTCGTCGAAATCTTCTTTGATGAGGTAAAGCTTGTCGTCGATAACCTCCGAAATCCATTCGCCATCTGAGACATGTTAGTCTGGAACCTATCCGAATGTGTAGTCGTGTCCTTACCTCTGTGAAAGACGAATCCGTAAACGCCAACCTTCTCGTCACGGGCAACGCACACCCGTTGTATTAACTCTTCCTTATTCGAGATCGTCGCTAGTGCTGACATAAACCAGCAGTCGCCGTCGTTTCCCTGTCGTACATCGTTCGCTGTAGCGCCGCCAATGTAGAATCGTGGGTCGTCGAAGATGTCCTGTGACGAATGAGCCAGGTTTTGTTATGGTCTGTGGTATACATACCTCAACTCTCTTGACCGATAGAGGATGGAAATCGGTCTTTTCTTCATTCAGCCCAGTCAGACAGTCTGCTGGTGTATCCGGAAAGGCCTGCGATCGTTTGAAGTCTGCTTCGATGTCGAAATGTGGATCTCTGTACTTTTGATTCAATCGCCGGCATTCCTTGACGATCTTTGCGACCTTTCTGGTACAGGCTTCTTTGGCTTCCTCGTATGACGCAAGCGCATTGACGCCGGGTATGGATCCTTTCGGCGCATGTGCGGCGGCGCGTTTCGCGTACAGGTTGTCGGGTAAGATCGTAAAGATCTTGCCAGGGTGTTTGGTCGTAAACTTGTTCCAGAACTCGTCAATGTTCCTCTGGGGCGCTTGTTTCCTGACTGGCAAGCGCGGCCGCGGCGCGGAGGCTGGCGTTTCCTGAACCATGCTGGGCGCGCGCGAGTGTGGCGTGGTGATGTTGATGAAGTCGTTGTGCGTACCATTCGATGCCATGATCAATTTAGTGCCAAATCCCCAATGCTCAGGGCTGGCGATCTTCCTTGGGGCGTATGACATCCATTGGGGGCTCTGCGGTTAATAAATGTTTAGCAATGACGATGTATTTCTCAGCCCCCAACGAAGCTGCACAGAAGTGCCATGTATGGTGTGGTATTTCGAGAGCCTGTAAGAAAAGAAGTGGGGCGGTCAGACACAAGGGCACTGCTCGGCGCAGCCGCTGGACCCCCGCTCGCCATGCCGTTGCGAATCAGCTGCCCGCGGAGCTCCCGAACCCATGTGTGCACTTCAAGCGTTCGGCGACACCAAAAAGCGGAGAGGCAGAATAACGGCCATCGGACGCAGCTGCATTGACCTGCGTCTTCAGCTGCACCCACGGCCAGTCGACGAGTAAGAGTGCTGTGATGGAACGCGATGCAGCAGGGAGGTTGTCGTTCTGTGGAAATCGCGCCAAAAGGCTAATACGTGCAGCTAGATTGGTCTTGGGGGCGGCCAACTAGCCGTTTCTGGTCGACTACGGCTGGAAGCCTGACCGACTTCTTGTCTTGTCACATCACTCAAAATTCGTCATCTGATTGTAGTTTGGAGGTGAGCGACTGTACTCGACCGTCTCCGAGTGCATGCAATAGTGATACTATGACGCTTTCCAATCCGTTGGCTCATCTTCACCGCACGGCGGTTGCGATGGTGTCATGTTGCGCGTCCTGTACAAGCAGAGCAAGGTCAATCTAAATCTGCTTGAAACATCTTTTCCGCAGTCCAGCTGCACCATGTATTAGGCATCTCGAGCTATTTACATCAGTGGCTCCGCTTCCATGCTACAGACAGGAACGACGAACACAACGCCGGCGTCATAATCGTTTAGAGAGTCTTCGACGCGGTGTCAGGGCCAACACGAGCACAACCCCGAAGCAGATACATCTGAGCGGGATGTTGTGTTTCTTCACGTGCCAGATGTGTGCCGAACTTCCATAGATAGGCTTCAGCGGCAGCTTTCCTTCCGCAAGCGTGGGCACGCTCACTAAGCATCTCGGTTCCGAGTCACCGGGCATGTCTCATTGCGTCCATGGTGCTGGAAACAATGTCGCTGCAATCTCGTGCTGTGCCTGCATAAGTGCGGACGCGCTGAAATTCTGTACCCTTCAGCAGCACACATGGTACGATGGATAGCAGAACGGCTATACCTCCGTCTGGCCGATGTCTCAATATGGTAAGAGGGTTAATGTCGTCAACGTACGAATGAGCATCGCCAACCGTAGTTAGGACTGCATGTAAGCCTTAGTAGCCAAGCCCTATGAGCGATGCTGCGAGAGTGCTGCATTCCCGCAGGGATGCGATCTCACCGTAATTTCGGCGAATGCAGCCAATAACGTCGCATGGTCGCATCTGACTCCACGAACTACGTTAAATGTCCTTCGAAACTACTACATGTGGGACAGTCCATGGGTCGGTAAATCTGTTGAGATGAGCACTGGCCTCCGACATTGGTGTTGTAACGTTCGTGCATGCGCTTCGACGTAGGCTGACTGTGCATCAAGTGGTTTGTAGACAAAGGGAAGTTGGCGGACGAGCTCCACAGCGTCTCGTGCCCTGGCGAGGCACACAGAGCCATGCTGTCGCGAGATCAGCCCCGGTTATGCAGTGATAACCAGGAGAACGAGCGGTAAACGCCTTGCAGCATACCAACAACGTCTTACCACCTAGAATAAAAGCTCATCCCTGTCTTGAAGTTACTCACCGTTCTGTACATCTGCACAGATAGTCATAGAAGACCTCGTGTATCGTCTGGATGCAGTAAATACCAAGTGCAAAAACGTGGGTCGACCACCAAGTATGCGCGGCCCGATCGGGTGTAAATCTAGATCCGTGTCGGCGACTAAAACTACTGAGCGTTTAGAGTCGTAAGGCTGAGTGCGAGGCTGAAGTCATGAGACATGGTGTGATGCTTGGCGCACATCCGTCGATAAGTAGCTCGGTACGCTAACCGACTCCTTCAATTACGTCATTGATATTCTGGTCAAGTCGCGAGGCATCTGAAATTCAAAATACTTCCAATCTCATTAGGGGGTTTCACTTTTCGATTTTATTCCCTTATTACCGATCACTCGAACAGTGTATATCACTCTGAACCGGCCACACTGAGAACTCGCTCATGAGTATGCACGATTGGCACCCCAGCATGGTGAAGCACTACGACGACAGTCATACAGCGAGAGCTCGGTGATACATCGAGCAAGAAACTAGAGTTGTAGTGCATTGGTTGGCGTTTGCGACGTTTTCGCCCGCATATGCAGCTAATTTTATCCTTTCACTTTCCCTAATTGCTACCACTCAGGACAATCAGGAGTTCACGCATTCGTCTAGAAACACGTCAGAGCTCTTCACCCCTCGCCAATGATATATTGGGGGTGTTTGCATTCGGTGCGCCCTTCACTAGCTTGAACCCGCCAGGCTGGAGGTACTGAAAGACCTGTTTCGGATCGTATCTCTTCGATACCTCCATCAACCGTTGCTTGTTCTTCACTCCATAGCTACCAATGGGGTCTTGATATTCGGACGCGTAGTTGAGATACACGAAGTCGTTGTCGAGGTTCCTCCTCTTCGCTTCTGCCTTCACAAGTTTGATGATGTTGGCAATCACCGTGTGGAACTTGGCTTCGTCTTCTTGGTTGTTCCAAGCCGCATTGAAGTTGAGTACAAAGTACGGGCCGTTTTCTGGATCAATGCCTAAAGCATTTCCACCGTTCTTTTGCATGGCTTTGGCTGCGCTCTTGGTAATGGGCTGAACAGCCATGATGAGCAAAATTTTCTCGACATCCGCGACAGTTGCTTCCTGCGCGTAAAATGTATCAACAATGAATTGGAGAAGTGGTCTGTCCATCTTCAAACTGATACCCCACCACGTTTGGTACGCCCCAGGCGCAGGCGCTCCCTGGTTCAAGAGGTCGGCCATCCCGGACATTGGTCGGAGGCCGGTGGTATCATCGATGGCGGTGATGTTACTCCAATTGGAGAAAACAGAAGCGTTAGCAATCGGTTTGGCGTAGTGCAGATTGGCGAAAGAAACTTTGCCGATCCCAGGCGCGCTGGCGAAAGTCTGTACATGTCAATCACCTGCGCAATAGGAGCAAACTAAGCGAACTTACGACAATTTGTGCGGCATCTTCGTCCTTGGCGGATCCAGTCACGGTGAACTCATAAATCGCATCCAGCACGGCTGGGGTTGCATCCTCAAGGTACACTCTCTGGCCTCCCCACATCTGGCCAAGAGGGAAGGCGTCAAGCTTGAAGTTCGTCACGATTCCAAAATTGTTGCCTCCTCCTCGCAGTGCCCAATATAGATCGGAGTAAGACGCTGCGCTAACGTTGATGGCGAAGCCGGATGCTGTAACCAGTTCAAAGCTGGCTACGTTATCACACGCCCAGCCGCGCTTGCTCGCGAAGTGGGATATGCCCCCTCCAAGGATAAGCCCAGGCACGCCTACAGGAGCCATCTGATACTATCGTCAGCAGAGCCGGTAAAGGATGGGAGGAGATCTGTATACTTACACGTCCACCCGCGACACTAAGACCATCTTTCTCGACAGCTTTGTAAACATCAATCCATCGAAGTCCAGGGCCAACGTCAACTGTTTGTTTGTCCGAAGCAACAACAGCTTGCTTGAAGTTTTCCATCGAGACCGTGATTCCGTCTTCAATGCTGGACGCACCAGCCCATGCCGCATGACCGCCACCTTTTACGGCAAAAGGGCATTGGTACAGTCTAGCTGCGAGTACCAATATTGAGAGGTCCAGAGTTTTTGTAGGCTTGAAGACACAGGAAGGTCGTAATGAGCCTTGTTGAGCAGACCAGTATCCCCCCGTGAAATTGCTATATGCGGTTGCCCCTTCAGCCAAGACTTTGTCACTGCCGAACAATATGGTTAAGGCGGCACACTGAAGCCAATGTTAGCTCGCGCCATATTGCAGGATCGTTGCGCGACGGTCAGACTAACAGCATGTGAGCATTGTGCATCCGAGGACCGTGAATGAAGTGTGTCTGCTGGCTCTGGCAGAGTTGAAACGTCAACGCCGAAAGTTTTGAGAGCCGCACTGATGTTGAAGTTCTGCGGCTCAAAAACGCTGCTGCCAATCTGCGCTGCAACGCCTGTAGCGAGAACTCCGATCGATATGGCACACGCGGCCCTCATCTTTGCGCGTCGCTGAGGTCAAAGAAAAAGAGAACGAAATAGCCGATGGTATACTCGCGACAGCGATGGTTGCCGTCGCTTTAAGAGGCAGGAGTAGGATTTGGGGGCTAAAGGGCGATTGCACTTGGCTGCTCCTCTCTGCATGCAGGGCGTAATCCGTGATTGCCCCCATCTGCAGCTCCTTCATCGGGAGGTGTCCAGATTCAGATTTATCCGTGTTGATCGGCGCGAGATCTGACTTTATGGGTAGTACGAGACTGTTTCAGGATTGCGTGAATGCGTATCTTTCGGTTCTGCAAGGCGCTCCATCCGACGAGCATTACGCTATACCCACCCTGGCATAGTGCGAGCTGGGGAAGGCCCTCGACCACCTAAGGTGGCGTTGCTATAGACAGCCCGAGTTACCGTTAATTCGGAGTTCTCTAGAGGCCATGAGTACTTTCGCCTTGCACGTGATTGTCACATACGCGATGGTGTTATCGAGACAAGTGCAAAAAGCTACGAAGCAAAGGGCAGGCCAGGAGGTATACGATGATGGTGCAAGAGTTCAGTGAGATCCATAGATACTGCAGTGCTAACAAAGCGTCGCCTCCTAAAGAAAAACAGCTTACACTTCTGACCCGCCAGACCTGCGGTTGTTCTCCAGATACGTTAGTGAAAGTGAAGGTGAATGTGGACAACAAGCAACAGCTGGGGTGATATCAGTGTAAAGCGCGCAGTCACCACAGCCATTTTATGCTGTATGCAAACTCTCAGCCAGCTGGGTTGTTTCCATATTTTCGGTCCCTATCTGTCTTATTATCTTCCACATTCACCTCTTATATCCTGGGGCGACAACAAGCAGCGCTATTGGTGCCGTGGCGACGTCGGGGAGCGTCAACGACACATACACTGTGCGCCCTTGCACTCCCTTTCACCTCAAACGCTCCCATGAAAAATCTTCAAGTCACTACGCGTTGTCATATATCCCTCAAGCTTGGTTCCATCCTGCACCTCGTCTCTATTCTAGATTTCTGTTATCACAACAACTGCAGTATCCCAACCTCGCAACCACCACTACTAGCTACGCATAATTTCTTGGGCATCATCGAAAGATTTCTGTCAATTTCCTGTCGCAAACAGTCCACGACGCCCCAAGCCTGGTGTTTTTGACTAAACCATCCACCCCTCCTAAGTGATCAAGATGCTTTCCAAGCGAGACAAGATCGGCCGGGAACCAGCAACTCATTCTTCCGCTCAAGATGTATCGAAGAAGACCAAAACAGACCAGAAAATACCACCCGTGCTCACTCCTCTTTCCGCGAATAAGCGCAAACGCTCCGCTGATGAGCACACCGCCGGCCCAGCTCTTATATCATCAGCCAAGAAGACAAAGCCAACTCCAAACAACACATCAACAAGCTCCAAGAAGCCTCTCGCGACCGCTTCCAAATCTTATGGATTCAAGTCAACTCTCGTCCCACGTGGCACCCGCAAAAAGGCCAGCATTGGCCACAAGGATGAATCCCTCCTCCGTATGGTCTGCGACTGCTCCACCACCAACAGAGTCACAGAGCTCCACTTCCGCAAGATACCTCACTCAATGATCGACTGGAACTCTGCCCACCACATCAGTAAGATCAATGCCTGGCGCAACCAGATTTACGGCCGTGCCGGTCTCAAAGCCCGCTCCGTCAGCTTGTGGTACGAGAAAGAGGAGCTTTGGTTTGAGCTGTACTTTCAACTTTGCATCGTGGAGTCGCGTAAGCGCGGTTTCTTACTACCTGGTAGTAGAAAGGTCCGCGATGCGTTCAATGCGACTTTCGTGGGCACTATTATTCAGGATAAGGCTGGAAATGACCTTCCGCCTCGTGCTGAACGCGAAGCCAACGCTTTTGCCTCGAAGTTCAACCGCATGTATCCTGTACTCAGGGCTCGTCTCAACAATTGTGTTTTTGGCAAGTCAGGAGATACGTACATGCCCAAGATTACGTTCAAGATGATGGAGAAATACAAGACTATGAAGGGGGAGATGGCGGCCAAAGGTGTCGAATGTGAGTCCGAGTATGCAGATCATCTTGAGGACTGGCGGCACTTTCTTTCGCATCTACCGGACCCTGAGGATGCCGAAATGCAGGACGTGGCTACAGAGGAGGTGGAGGATGTTGAGGAGATGGAAGCGAAAGAAGTTGACGCTGTCACTGCATTGATCAGTCTGTCGCACTCACCCATCAACTCACAAGTCGCACTCTCACCTACTGCTGGAGGTAAAATACACGTTCATGTATAACACACGCACCTTGACTGACCCAACCGCAGTGTCTTCTAGTATCGAGATCACCAACGAACACGCGACACCTGAGCTAACCTGCTCAACTCGTACCTCATTTTCGCACGCGGAAGAGAGTCCCTGTACCCCACCACAGCCAGCGCACGCCTTCGAAGGTCGCATTTACAATCCAGATGGTATCTACGGTTGCGATCACGGTACTGTCCATGAATGCAAGCAGCCGTCAGTTGCTAGCCCTTCCATTGAGACGCACGCTGTCGAGGATCACGTCTAAGTTAGAAACATCGGCGATGATATCTGGACGGCAGTCCACGTCACCATCTCCCACTCACCCTGGCTTTACATGGTCGTAGCCGCCTGAAAATGCTGGCTTACACATGGAGTTCATAACGCTGCTGGGTGTAGGGAGGACTTTCGCAACGTGGATGCTTTACTGGCCATTCTTCTCGATTTTCGCTTACTGAGAGAGTCCTTCAGATTGCTCTTCTTGTCATTCTGTTGTTACGAAACTTGTTGCGTAGTTGATACGGCATCCTGCGAAACTTGGTGTTATGTTGCAACGAAAACCGATTCTAGGTATGAGTGGCGCTACTGTTGCGTCTTCTTCCTCGATCAATTGCTTCCTGCTTTGTTTTCTGTTGGGATGCGCAATGGATGTTTGAGGGCAGTTCGGTCATGTATTATGAAGGATTGGGAAGTCGAATGGTAGATTATTACGGCGTTGTTTGCATTATTGCAGAGTCAGCACTGCTTCGTTGATAGTAGAGTAAAGGCGGTGTATTCCAGTCACTGAACAACCAATAATACCTTCACATAGTATGTTCTACCTTTGCATCGTGATGACGTCGCAGTCTACCTGAATATTCTTCCCACGCTGTCAACAATCTATGATAATCCTAGATGCTGCTTCACCGGCCATCGCTCTTGTGCTACTTTGTACTCACCTTGTCGTTGCCAGCGCATCACTTTCCCCACCCTTTCAGCTTTACTGATTCTAGAACCCCCCAACCCAATGATCGCCTCTCCTTCCGCCTCCGCCTCTATATCTACTAGGAATCCACGCGCTCTCGATATTCACCCTGAATAAATGACTCCTCTTTGCCTTCCTTGTCCCGTTCGTCCTTCGCATTTCCACCTTTCTAAGCCTCTGCGTGCTCAATCTCATCCCTTTCCTCTTTTCAATCCCCGCCATGACGTTATCGTACTGTAGATGTGGTGGCAGATTCGCAGGATCGATACGCACGCCTGAGCAACCCAGACAAAATGTGATATATTCTGGGGTACTTTGCGCCTTGGGTTTCTCGCCACAAGGACATCTACGACGGAGACCGGCGTTCGCTATCCTGTCGGTGACGGGTCCGTCAGGTATGCCTTTTCGAAGGTGTCTACCGGTTCCGCCGTTCTTGTGGCAGCGTATGTGGCCTGTAATGACCTTCTTGTCGCGACTGGTCAGAATGTCTTCGGCGAGTTTGTAACGAGCCCAACTATTCACTCGAAAACCTTCGTCGCGGCATGCATGACAACGAAATTGGAACTGGGTAATACCCAATCTATTGCAGATGCAAAGGTCCTGTAGACTATTCGGCGCAATTGGCCATTGTGCTACACATTGTTTAGTATCCCCTCCCGGTTTTATCGGAGGCACCGGTGTCCCTTGGCGCAACCAGTAGAGCTCGACCTCATCACGGATGCATCGGTGGCAAAGCTGATTACGAAAGCCTGATTGATAATTGGCATCCGCGAGCGTTGTTATAGGCTCGAGCTTGTTAGTGAAATGGCCAGGAAGACATGCAGCGGTATCATGATCCATGCAGTGAGCGCAGACCCAGACCTCGCCAGGGTGAGGATGTATAATGCCGTATTTAGATGGTGGCGTTGGGTGGAATGGATGAAGACCAGGACATAAAAACGCCCAACTCACGTCACACAAAGTATTACCAGGAGGACCTCCAGAAGCACGGCAGTGAATGAAGTCGTCGCAGTGTTCGGGAGGTTCCGTCTGCGATGTTGAGGCTACACTAGCTCTTTCGGACTGGGAGCCAGGGGGCGTAGAGCTCGGTCTACGTGGTGGTGACGATTCGGGGCTAGGTGCTGATACAGCGCTGAGCGGTGCCGGTGAAGAGAGGTTACTCATTGCGATGGAATCCTATCATGTGACGGGTGTATACCACAATTATGCTGAAAATTGTGATGAACGTTGTTTTCAAGTACCACAGCTACGGGATCATGGGAAATTCCAGCTATTGGGTTCCCCGCTCTTTCGTCTCCCAGAATGGCACTGTTAGATGTCGTTTGATAGCGTAGATAGATACAACAAAGAAAAGTACGGCTAGAGTTTGGAAACAATGGCATTGTCAGTGTCTGAAAGACGCGTGTAACACCACTCACTTATTGTATCTCCGACACAGACATACACATACGCATTTGTCCATGCTGCCCTCCTATTGCGTCACAGTATCTTCACACAATGCTCCCTCATTCATCAACAAGCTCTACGATATCGCCGAACTCTTGGAATATCCATGGTTCAAGATCTTTGAATGCTTCGGGTACCGGATTTTCGTCGACTGATGAATCCTTGGCCAGCTTCTCATCGAGCATGTCAAATATGTCTGCGATTTCGGCTTGAGGGCTGCTCGTGCCGCCAACAAAAAGTGATGGGGACTCACTGACACATGCTTTGTGCGATTCATCGTGGTGTACAGGAGCGATGTTACCTCGATCGTTACGATCTCCCAAGCTGACATTCATGGGGTTGTCGTCTTGACCATAGCGCATACCGTCGGCATCATCGAGAGCATTCTCAAGAGGCTGCATGATATCACCCTCACTCTCGCGCACCGCCTGTAGATCCTGGGAGTCGGCAAGGCCGATCATAGCGTCTTCCATCATGGAGTTGTCGTCCCCAAATGTATCCGATTCGTACATTGGTGCTGCAGCCTCATTGCCCATGAAGTCTTCAGGCTCTTGTATGTCGCTCAAAAAGTCTCCGTAGTCGCTTGAAGTCGGTGGCCGTTCGGCTGTAGAACCCATGAAGTCAAGGCTATGCTCACCACCTTGAGAATAGCAGTAGGTAGGTTTCTTGTACATGACGGAGTTCAATGAAGTAGGCAGCTCTTTACCCTGGGCGGTCTTGTGCAGCTGATGTAGACCACGATAATCTCTTGGGCCGTTCACGCCGAAATTCGCCTTTTGCTTCTTCTCTTGTTGTGTAAGATCGAGTTCGTCAATAGACGCTGAGACCTTTCGCTTGGATGCTGTAAGCTGGAACTTGGTCTGTGTTTGTTTGCCTTTCGAAACTGGTGCTTTCTGCGTTGGTTCCGGCCGATCTTCTCCTGATGGGACGCGTCTGACCATGGCCTTCTTCTTTGGTGGTTTGTCCATACCATCCTTGCAACAAAGGTGTTTACAAGCAAGCCGATCTTTACACGCGTGATTACATGCCCACTTGCCGTTGGCTAGCTGTACCGGTTCTTCGTCTTTGTCACAAGGTGCAGCATCGAGCGGCCGTGTGATATTCTTGCTCTTTCCAGCGTCTTTAGCCTTGGCCGGCTTACTCTTCTCGGCGTTCCTTTGTGAAACCGTTGCAATAGGGTCGGCATAGTTTTCGATCTGATCAAAGTCGAAACCACGGAGAGAAGCACCTACAAGTGTGTCGTCGTCCAAGTCACCATCTCCGAAGTCCTCGCTGGTAGCTGTCAGCTTTCGATTTGGTCTGGTAATTTCAGTACGACGCTTTGACACGTTGGATTGATGTGACATTGCAACGTCTGACTTGCGAGTGTTCAACGACGGAAACATGGAGGGAGCTATCTTAGGCTTGATGGTGGCAACACGCATACTGCCAGCTGGCAGATGTCAGTCACTTTCACTGCCCAAGAGAGACGGTACATGCCTATGCCATCACACATAACGTAACAGTTGATAGATTGATCTGGGCTTGTCAAGAGAGCTGGGACTGTGATGCTTTGACCTGAACCAAGCTTTGGGCCACTGCAATAGAGATTAGTATATTACGATACCAACATCGTGAACACATACCTGATGCGTGCGAAATGTATCTTGCGACCATCCGAGGTGTCAACCAGAAGACACACATAGATCAATCTATCGTTGAAACGCTGCGGCGGCTGTTCGTTGATGAAGCCAATATCTGCCTTGATCTGAATTCTCACTCCATCGTGAGATGTGATCACCTGAAATTCATTAGATAGCGTAAAGCACAACAGACAAGCAGACTTACAGTCGCAGGCTGGGCATGAAGCGACACGCGAAGCTTTGGGAACGACCGGACCATATCAAGTATCGTGAGACCATACGGTGGATTCCTGCCAACGAGCGCTTCGATTCGGTGAGGCTCACAACCTTCAAGGTCCTCGATCGATCTCAAGCCAGCGTTGACAAGCTTTCTGACCGCGATAACGCCGATAGTGTCGATCTGCTTCATCTGTAGTGGGCTGTCATCCCAAATCCTCGCTCCTAAACTTCTCTCGAGCATAAGGGCACTGTGAATGCTGACTGAGTCCGCTAAGATGATCTGGCAGTCAATAATACATCGCACAAGGCTACTGATGTTTTTGAAGATAATCTGTGTCTCAGTTACGTATTGCGAGCGGTGTTTGCCCGCCTCGCCATCCCATGAGATAACGGCGGATCCGAGGACAGACTGGATGATGAGGGATACTTTCTGGGCTGGGAGATCAAGGTTGACAGGAATGGGCCAACGGATCGAAGGCGACTTATTTAGCATTTTATAAAAGGGTTTTTCGCCTTGCCGGAAACGTATGGTTGAGAACTCGGTAGCTTGAGCCATAGCTGAGAGCTGTACGGAATGGTCAGTGTGAACATGCTAGTTACGTTACTGCGGTCTTACTTACTATCTCAGAAGGCGTGGACTTTGACCCAAGTCCCATGAATGTTTTCATAGTATCGAAGTTAACGTAGTATCGTGCCATAGCTTGACCAAACTCTGTAGATCGAAAGTACTCTTCGCCAGATATGAGATTGGTCTCGCGCAGGAGGGTAATGTCACGAAAGCATATATCATCGACCTGTTCTTCGATACTCTGACCACTTCGAGAGCCATCTAGCTTGTAGAAGTTGGGATTCTGCTGGAGCCGGACGTAAAGAAACGTGCCTCTGAGCCACTTTCTGGCCGACAGTAGGTCGCTGATCGTTCCCAGTCCGATTTCGGCGTTCATATGATCCACCAAGTTGAGATGGAGCTTGCTTTCTATAAGATCTTGGCCAGTTACCAACTTCTCGTAACGGCGGACTTTTGCTTGTCGAGTCATGATAACCGCTACTGCTGAGTCGTCATATTGAGGTCGTCCTGCGCGGCCAAGCATTTGCATCATCTCCAGATCCGAATACTCCTGGAGTCCTTCCGCACCCCAGGACATCGTGTTCTTGATGATTACGAGATGACAGGGTAGGTTGACACCAACTGCGAGCGTTGAAGTGCAGCAAATGACATTGATCTCGCCAGCAATGAAACCTTTCTCAACCTGCATCCGGTCGTCCAGGTCAAGCCCTGCATGATGGAAAGCAACACCTGAAGCCACAGTTTCCCGAAGCTCTTTGTTAGAGAGCGCAGGCAGCTTGGAGGGAGGTTCCCACATGCGATTCCTGCTAGATGACGATTCCCACCATTTCGCAATGAGCTTTGCTGTATTGGCCGTAGAGTTCCTGGTCGCACCAAAAACCATTATCGGCTTCCGCTTACAATAGGTAGCAATGACCTCAGGGATCCTAGCATCGAGCACCTTCTCAAACCCGAAATCGTTGGTGGAGCTGGTATTGTAACCTCGAACATATTTTTGCAGTTTGACCGGGCGGAACTCTTCACCGAATTTCTCGTTAGCAGCCGGGGTGTTGGATTCGGACGAATTCTTCCCTAACCATGCTGCGATGTCATTAAAGTTAGGCACCGTGGCCGACAAAGCTACAAAGCGAACGTTGGTGCCTATGGACTTCATCCGCGACACGACCGCCTCGAGTGTGGCACCGCGATCTTCTCTGAGTATATGGACTTCGTCGATGAGAAACACTCGAATTAATCTCATGAGCTTCTCATGATCTTTCCACTTCCTAGTCATGCTATCCCACTTCTCGGGTGTAGTTATGATGATATTGGCACTCTGCACGTTGCGAAGATCCCCTGCGTCGCTGTCACCGGTCAGCTGAGCACACTTGAGCCCGAGCTGATTGAACTTGGCTTCCCAGTCACGTTGGCGCTCGGAGCACAAAGCCTTGGTCGGCGCTTGGTAAACCACCTTGTATTGACCCGTCGCGTTGGTGGCAACAGCGCGACACACGGCAAGCTCAAGGATGACAGTCTTTCCGCTTCCCGTAGGAGATGCAAGCACAAAGTTGTCGTCGGTATTAAACACCCTTTCGAAACATTTGGATTGTACGGCATTGAAAGTCGGATAGGGAAACACGGTCCGGAGACGATTGGGTAGAGTTGTAACAGGGACGAGACGAATGCCCTGGCACGTGGGAAGGGCATGAGACAGATCGACTGGGTTTGGCTGCGACTTTGGAAGACGATGTTGACGATGTTGAGGGTTGACATCCTCTCTCGGTTGCAAGCCATTCTGGACAAGCTGTTTGCAAGGACGCAGATAGTGTCGTTGATGGTCCTCAATAGGGGATTGGAATTCATCCTCGAAGAGTTGAGGTTCTGCTTCGCGTTGGGGTGTGGTGGGAATGACTTGCTTAGCACGCCTCTGGCTTGCCTTGAACGCTGGGCTGGATGAGCGGCCGAGTGGTACATCTGAACTTGTTTCTGGGAAGGGCCCGGGATTGTGGGCGAAACGACCTGGATGGCGATCAGTGTGACGTTTGCTTTCAACACGATGGCATGAACTCACTTAGTTGACCCCGCACGAATTGTTTGGGACGCAGGTGATATTCGGCTTCTCGATGAGTAGCTGCATTTTGGGGGCCAGAGTTAAAAGTACCTTCCTCATCATATATCGTGTTTCTATGAGCACGGAAAGGCTGCTGCGGTTGACTGGGCGCTGCATTGCTAATGAACGTGGACGGGCCAGGTGCAAATGACAGCCGCGTCCTGCCTAGTGCAGCTTGTTGCAGGCGATTAGGGACTGGCTGTTGAAGCAGTCTATCATCTATGCGATTTCAGCAAAGCAGAACCAGAAGTGAGACGCTCACATACCAAATGAGTCAAGTTGGGGACCATGATCATACGAATCATCATAATCCTCCACCACGTCGTATATGGGATGCTCGTGCTGAGTGGCACGATAACGGTCTCGAAGAGCGATTTGTCTTTCTTGCTGTTTGAACTGGGACCGAAGAACGTCGTACTGCGATGCGCGACGGGGAGCGCCGAGCCGCTGGGGGTTATTAGACGGATGATTCCTGTCGCCCATGACTGCTAGATATAGCTATTCATATCAGAGGTGAATCAGGGGTGAGATTATGCATGGGACGAAAAGTGAGAGTATTGAACAAGGCGTGAGGTGAGAGTCGGGACATGAAGGGAAGTGACGATGGAGGAAGTCGCAGCATGACGTGTCAGTAGAACCTCACGGTATGCCACAGGCGATATTCCGCCATCAGCAATCCCAATCACTGGTATGTAAGAGCATCTGTTAGTTACCGCTGGGTAGCGTATTTGCTCTATAAATGCATTTTGCTGAATTATTGGGGCTCAAGCTTCTCGCTTATGTGAATGCCGTTCTATCGTAGGTGATTCTGGCATCGATCTAGGAACATTACTATAGCCTGTGGGGCTCCGAGGCATATCTGCATCATACGTGCGATCGACTGTGGTCTTCTCGAAGTCGGCAATCCTAACTGGGGGCAATTGCGAGCCCCGCTCAGGCTTGGTGTAGAGATAGGTAGCGAGCAGCACGACACAGGTGCCCATGAAGAACTAACAATTATCAGCATCATCACCATTACTATGTTGCTGCAAACTTACCGATCGCGTCACCTTGAAATCGAAGAAGTACACACTGGCTATACAACTGAGCAAAATCGAAATCGACGTCGCGAAGTTCTTCGCAATGTTGTCCGCATAGTTAATGACGAGCGCAACAATGACACCGCCGGCTGCCTGAAAGCCAATGGCCGTCCACACCACCCAGTTGTAACCAACGAAGAACCCAGTCTTTGCTATCACTTCTCCGTCCTTCCAGATAACACCCAAGAATAGCGAAGGAAACAGTGACCAAAAACAGAGCTGGCAGTTGCGCACCCAGAGCGGTGTCAGCTTTGCGCTCGAAGATTCCTTCAGTATCTTTTCGAAGGTGACTCCAGCCAGGCCTGAGAGGGCGCAGGAGATCAGAACAGCCAAGAGCCCAACCCGACTATTCATGCGAGGTACCTGAGCTGCACGATCCTCGTGTATACCCTCATATGAACCAGATCGCTTCAAGACCCGCCCAGCGACATTCTCGCCTAAATCATGTAGTTGCTCCAGTGTCTTCGTCCATGACGACGATCCTGCCCCTGCTGTGGCTGAAGGTGCGGTCGCTTGCGGTACTTGTATAATGGATACGCCGACGATGAGAAGTAGTAAAGATAACCATTGGCGTGTCGAGAGGCGTCGGCCTAGCATCAAAACGCTGAAGATAGCCGTCGTCAGAATCTTGAGTTGGTAGGTAACTTGGAAGGTTGCAGCATCCAGATTGCTGACAGCAACATATTGAAGGGAGTTTTGTATCGTGTATAAGACCGCGGGTATCGCAAGCTTCCAGCTCTCGTTGGTGAACATCGCGGTCGTCATGGTGCGGAACAAAGTCGGGACGGTCGTGTTCGAAGGAAGGTTGCCGGACATCTCGTATAATGCCTATAGGTACTGTAAGCCTAACAGCAATCATGCTTTTCCGTACCACTGCCATACCATAGTCAAGCTTATAGCTAGCTTGATCACTTCATTCAGAAAGACGCTTGTGCTTGCGTGATATCTCTGCTCTCCAGCTAGAGGCATTACCCTTGAGTAATGCATAATCTGATGTCGCGTCAGCCACTGACACGGTCCGGTCCTTCTTATACAGAATTCGCGTCCTGAGTGCGCTTTTTGCTTGCGCATGGGTTGTCGTCCGCCATGAAGGGTGGCCGTACCAAGATGAGGGCGGAGTTCTGGAAGGTGAGCTACGAAAAGATTAGCTTATGCGCATATACCGAGCAGGGACACAAAGACGTGCTTACCGTCACAAGGGACAGGTGCTTCATCGACACCCCGCCCAGGGTTCCTGAAGCAGCTCTGACAACCATCGTGGGTTCAGCTCTCGTTGGATTCGCGGGTAGATCTGGAAATCGCTAGGCACGCATGACAAGTAATATGTCGCAGGAAGATAGTTGGGATATCAACAGAAGATTACTGTGAATGACAGGTCGAACAAGTACAAGGCAAACGAGAGCTGCAGACGAAGTACATCTTGAGTGCTGTCAGCCTGGCGTGGGCGCGGCTTCCGATGCTCGAGGTCCGCCCACGCTACTGAGTCGCAGGGGTGCTTAGTGCCGATCAGACTTGGCACCCTAATATCCCTCCGATGACGCGCATCCAGACGCGTCACACACAATCTGATCTTCACTATACAACAATGGGTTTTCCTAGCAGGTCAGAGTCCGGCAGAAGTTGGTCTGAATCCAGAGTTCTTGGCTTCGCTAGTCGGTTTCGCTCTCTTCCTTTGAGCTGGGAGATCTGTACACACCAAACGGCACTCCTTTCGTGTCAACATGTAACTGAGATCTATCGTGGTCAGACTGGCTGGGAATAGTTTATCACTCTGCATCATATCGCATTACGATACAATTCTTGACTCTGCCTCGGTGTACAAGTTAGCCATGCCCAGGTAACGGTTCAAAAAGCTGTTTTTCTTTCCTAGCCTCGATCATTAAGCACAAAACCTGCTCCGAAGGTGTACGCAAGAATCTCTATCATGAGTCGAGCAGGAAGGTCGTAGTATGTATCTTGAGGGCAGATTCGAGCAGACGTAAAACTTGGAAGAACCAAGCTCCTTGGTAGCTCATGCTTCTCGAGGATTTGTGTCAGTGCCGGAACTGTTCATTCTTTCAGCTTTATATATCATATTTGGAACTTCTCCGGCATAACGAACGCAGTTATGGCTGCCTTTACAAGCTCTTCGCCAAGTTCTAAACACTATGACAAGCAGCATGCGATTTTCAACCAGTATCGTTTATGGCACTCATGAATATTGGTGTAAAACTTCCAATCCATGGTTCCCCCAGGCGTGGAAAAGGGCTTGGGTCCACCCCCAGGCATTTAGGAAGAGAGCTTGGGTCAACAGCCCGAAACTCTTCAAGTGGAGCATCCTCTATCTCGCTGATGCGCTGGATCTCGGCGGTGAATTGTCGATGCACTTCTTCCACGCTTATACTATAGTCGGGCTCGAAACACATCGAACCTCCCCGATCATCCTCTATTATGCCAAGAACTGCAAAGTACCTGTCACGGGGCTGAACACATTTTCGATATCGGTAGTCGAAGGCTACGTCGAGTAGATTTCGCTGCAGAACAACGCCTTCCCTCCGCGCAGCCTGCCTCATCTGTGATTCGAGGATGTAAAGTAAAGGGGTCCAATCGACTTTAGCAGTGCCATGTAAATGGTAAACCGGTGATATAACCGCTGACTTGATTCGGAACACTAAAGCTCGTAATGTTCGCAGGTCACAAGTCCACTGAACTTGGTAGTTGCCGCACTGTAACGTAGTCTTTTTGGCTAATACTGCCTCCTGAACTGTCCACATGCGTTCGAACCAAGGACTGGTAAGGATATTGTTGATACTTCGGCCTAAATCGGGTATCGGGATATGGGACCACGGGGCTTCTTCTCCTCGGGCGTATGGTTGTATAAAAGATTGCAAGTGCTGCATATCCGTCTCGGTATGTTCTGTGCCTCTGCCCAGGTACACAACAACATTACTTGCAGTTTTATAAATTTGCCCCATCTTCCCAACCTGATCACTCCTTTCGGCCATACTTTCGGCACTTTGGTCGATACACACCTGGTCCGCCCAGAAAGTCCTTACTGAATCTGGATGTCTCAAATCGTGAAGAGCGTCGTGTAAACTCTTGCTAATACAGTAGAGCTGGCCGTCAACTAATATTTGGGCTCGATCACTATAGTTGCCCCAGACGTAGGATATTGCTTCGAAGAAAGGGCCGTTACTCAGATGCGATGTGACCAAAGATGTGCTTATCGTGTCGCCAGGATTTCCAGGATGAAGCTTGAGCAGACGGATGTCTCCTTGAGTCTCATCTATAGGTGGGTGTTTGTATTGTGTCCCTTCACCGTTCTGTGAGAGTCAGCCGGTATCAATGTCAATCCGCAAGGGGAAGTACCAGAGCCATAGAGGGCGGCGCTCCTGGGCTGTCCACTGTGTATCTTATCCAAACACCGAATGATATCTTCCATCCAGCCGGTAGCGAAAGCAGCCATTTGTCCATACGAAGTGGGAGGGTGCTAGGACTGGAAGTCCATCGCCAGATCTTGGTCCAGTAAGTCATCTTGTTCGGGAGAGAGCCTCAGTGGTTGTTCACTCTGATGCCGATTCAGACTGTGTCAGCTTGTTCAAGGATGATTGCAGGAAGATCAACATTTGGGTCGGAGTCTACAAGCGTGAATGCACCCGTTGGCGAGATGAGATGTCTAAAAGGTGTAGGCGAGGCCTACAACAAGCACAGCCACTTTGGTGGCGTTTTGGCGCACACGGCGCCAATCCAGATCATGCATGGCACGAATGGAGCTCAGTGGTCAGTTAAAACCCAAAACATGAAGGTAATTCCATGTGTCATTAACAAGCCACAATAAACGCTATTCGAAGAGAGCCTGTTCCCCAATGCAATGCCAAACGCAACGCTATGTACATAACTCATAATACAACAAACATTAACCCCATCATCAATATTCTCAACACACTCGTGCCCCTTCACAGAAACTCAAAACACTCAGAATACATACGAGCCATACCTCTTGTCCTCCCACCCCTAGTAAGAGTCGCCAAAGAATTGACTGGCAAGCATAATATCCTTATCCCCATTGGCAAAGTCCCATCCAACGATCGTCGGATCTTGACTACAGCAGATGATCCTGCGGGCGTCGAACTGGAGTTTGAAGACTCGCGAGTTTGTGCCGTTGTTGGCGTTGAGGGGTGCGGCGAGCGGGTGAGGGGGGTGATGGTGATGGTGATGGTGGTGGTGTGGTGCGGCGTTAGCTGGGCCTGCGGCGCCTTGTGCTGTTGTTGCGTTTGCAGCGTTTGCGTTGTTTCCTGCCGCGTTGTGGGTGGCTGCGTTTGCATTTGCGTTGTTGGCAGCCGGACCATGCATTGCTTGGGATGCTGCGTGGAGGGCATTGGCTTGCAGGGCCAATGTCTGAGCTGCTTGAGCCTGAGCTTGAGCCTGCTGTGCGAGAGCCTGGAAGTTGTTCTGTTGCGCAGGAGCTTGGGCGTTAGCTGGTTGGTTGTGGTGTTGGGCACCGTGGTTCGCATTCGCGTTGGCAGCATGATTAACTGGCCTTCGTGGGCGGCCGCCAGCAGCTCGGACAGCATCGTTCTGTAGGAGTGTCTGAGATTTCTCCCAGGTTCCATCAGGTCCTCTCTTCCAGATGATGACTGTTTCGTCGTAGGAGCCTGAGACGATGCGCGCCCATTTGCTGCCGCCGCCACCCGGTGGGAGTTTAGCCCCATAGGCGAATATCTTGGATGGGTCGCGGGAACCAGCGTTGCGAGCACGTCGCTCAGCCCTGGTAAGGTTTTGGTCAGCGAGCAGACCACTAGCTTGTGCTGCAAAGTAGTTCCGATCGACGGACCGCGCTTCGGCCTCAAGCTCTTCTTCGTTGCCAGGAAGGTCGCCGAATTGAGCTTGCACGGTGCGCACAAGATTACTGTGGCCGTTCAGACAGGCCACTTCAGCTCCTGTCGCGCGGTCGAAGATGCGTACGCTTTCGTCTGAGCTTCCACTAACAATGCGTCGTCCGTCGAACTGAACACAAGCAATGCCCTTGGTGTGACCTGAAAATGTCCTTGTGCATGCGCCGGTGCGGACGTCCCAGCATTTGACGCTCCTATCTCCAGATGCTGAGACAATTTGCCCGTCAAGAATCTGGATGGCATTGACTGCAGCGCCGTGGCCTTCTAGCGTCATGATGAGGCTGTATGGAAGAAGGGGTTTGAAATGAAGGTGTTGGTTTTCAACGTGTTCCTGCATATTGATGATGTAGGAAGGGAACCGAGCGCTCGACTTCATGGTAGATGAAGGGTACGTGTCGTCCGTTGGCATCATCTCCTTGCGATTCCAGACCTTGATCGTCTTGTCTTTCGAGCATGTGACCAGGTAGCGATCGTCGAATCTTAGATTCAGAACCGACTCCGAATGCGCCCTTTCGATTTCCTTGATGATACGTCCGGTTGAAAACTTCCAAAGGATAACTTTGCAGTCGCTGCCACCTGACACAACAATGTCCTGATCAGGGCGTTCGTCGAATTGTAAGCACAGAACGGAAGCTTGGTGACCAGTGAGTGGTGGATGTACCAAGCGAAGGGTATCCAGATTCCAGATTCTGATGCTCTTATCCCTGCTGCCGCTGACCAGGTACTTCCCGGAATACTGTATAGTATACACACATTCGGTATGAGCTTCTTCTGGGTGGTTCGGGTGTGGTAGCTGGAAATTGGAATAACGACCGGTGCTCCAGTTCTCTTCTAACCTCCTCTTCTGCTTGTAAAGGTATTGCCAGTTGATCCTGGCTTCCGGGCCAGGGAGCAGGAGTGACGGGTGTATGGGAGGTCCGTTCGTGTCTGCTACTGCGAGCGCGGGCGATATTTCTTCAGACGAAGCATCCTGTCTTCTTTCTTTGCGTGCTATAGCAGCAGGCGATGCTGTAGGTGATGCGCCATGGAACGAGATGCCCTCCATCTTGTCCTCCGACTTGACAGACGGACTGTCGTCAGCCTCAACTGCTCCGTGCTGCTCGCCCCATACGTTGCTAGTAGAGCCCGCGCCTGCTGACATCTGCGTGCCATTTTCTGACGCGGCGCCGTCGCCAAACAACTGTCGTTCCCGCACGCGCTTCTTGTGGGATGGCTTGCCATAGTCGGTATCCTCGGCGGCTCTGTGTCGCGTCTTTCGCTCCTTCTCTTTAAACTCTGCGCGTTTCTGTCTCTGCGCCTCTTCGTATGCGCGGACCTGGGGGAAGTTGGAGTTCCAGCCTTCTAGTCTAAAAAGCAGCTTCCACAGGGGGCTGTCCAGCACCCGCTCCCTCCACGACCGGGACAGTGTTGATGCGCGCAAGAGCGTCTCGGGGTTCAGGTACGAGAGGATTTGGAAAGTGATTTCAGGAGGCAGGTGTATTACGGGGTCGAGGTGGAGGAGAGGGTTGAGCTTTTCGACGATGCCGGCTATCGAGGAGGTCCGCAGCGAGCGAAGAATGGCATAGGCGAATTCTATACATGATGTCAGCGCAGGTTCCCGTCACACCGCAGCTGCTACTTACCACTCCGTTCGTTCTCGCTCAGAGCCATGACCCAGTCGGGCAGGACGAAGGGCGAGTTGACTCCCATCTCGCTGTCAGTCAGCTGCACATCGCTGCGCATAACCATGTCGCCCTCATTCTGGCTCCTGGTGTCCTCGGAGTAGCCTTCGTCGAAGCGGTTTGCACTCATGGAAGAGGCAGGGCGGAAAGGATGCATGTAGGGCGAGGCAGAAAATTGGGCATTCGGGGTGCCTAGAGGGCCTGCCATGACGGTGCGCGCAAGTTGGGTGGGTGGGTGGAGACAAAAGTCGCTAGTCGATACGCAATCGTGTGCCGTTTGCAGCGCACTCTCTGTTGCGGCGAAAGGGTGAGGTGATGTTGTCTGCACATGCGCTCCCAGGGCGGTCGGGCTGATGCTGCCTGGCGATCTTGGTAATCAGGGTACGTACTGGAGTCACGGAAAGCGACGGGTGGCGGTTGTGGTGTCTTATGCAGGGACGGGCTATCACGGGTGTTGTCTTGTGTGGCTGTCGGGGTGCACATGGGCTTTGCTATGGGAATCTCCAACTTTCGCAGAGCCTCGACAAGTGCCCAGTGCATCATTGCTTCCCGTAACACACGCGCCTTTGCGCCCGTGCACCCGCACCCATTCACTCCAGATCTGCCGCTAGCCGAGCTGGCTAGGGCATGCGGACTACTACTCGTGCGGCCAAGTCGCTCGCATCTGAGACACACCAGGAGAGCCAACGCTAGACTGCCCGCTTAACGGCTGATGCACTAGAAGTGGAAGGATGCAGTCTAGAAGACTGGAAGAATTCCCCGATGTCATTACTCTCTTCACATGCACCTGGCAAGGTTTGCAATGTACATGAAGCGACTAGTCGACGAGGTTTGCGCAAGCCGTTTGAATTTAGTTTGAATTTTAGTTTGAATTTTACTGTTGAGCCATTGCTTGGTAAGGTGACGTGCTTGATGGTGACAATTCACCGGAGTGTCTGAGACACCCAAGGTTGCTCCACTCGTCACCTTGGGATACTGAAGCTTTTAATATCTTGCCCAGGTATTTGGCAGGTATTTGTGGCAGGTATTTCATGCACTCGACGCGCCCATCGGGCAACATCACCTGCTCTCGCGTTGCTCGGAGCTGGACCAATGCTGTCTTGTCGTCGTGTAGCATGTGAGAACGGGCGGCTAGCCAGCCCCCATGCCGTTTACCACAATGGCATCATGGCCACAGAACAGGACATGTTCTCTCACACCGCTCTCTAACAATACTCGCATGAGCCGCGCGCTGTACCAAGGGTCACGTTCCCGGCCAACAAGGCTGGAGAAATGGGTCCGCGACAGGCAAGTGTCGAGACGATCGCGGCCCAAGGCAGCACTTGTGCCGACATAACAAATACGCACGCGGCAGATGCAAAGGGCGAAGAGGGTGCTATGTTGCGATAGGCACATTGCTAAAAGGTCAAGTCATGGGAATGGGCAGGGCGGCTCGCAGAGTGAGTCAGCTGTCATATATCGCAGACTCGCGGTTCATCAAAGGACTGGGCTCTGAGCGAGTGGAACGGCGACGCGCCGGCTGGCTGTGGGGGTGTCACCGAGGCCGTCGCTCGTGGACACGACGGCTGCAAACGTGCGCGTTGGTACGGAATGCGAGCCCAACGCAGACGGGGAACAGTGACATGTTTTGAGTTTTGTAGTCGTCGCAGTCACATGACATGGGCAACGCCGCACATGCGGGTGAAACGCACGAGTGCCCCTTTCAGCATTACCCGCTGCAGCGTCTCCAGACATCTCCTAGACACACACCCGCGATAGCACGACTATCAGCGAACTCTGGAGCTTCCGACCGCTATCGCGACCCGCGTGCTGCAGGCCTGGCCGTGAAATTGTTGTCTGTCGCCGCACGATCCACGTCTCGCCGCCCTGCTCGGTTTAGCAGCTTCGACCCTGACCGCCTAAGGGCTTAGCGCGAGCGCAAGGAGATCGATGAAAGCAGCATGGAGGGCGGACTATCGTTTCACTCGGGTCTGGTGAGAGCCCATACCACCTTTGCCGTCTCCCATACACCACCAAAGTCGCCCTCAAAGCAAACTGCACACGCCCGGATGACCTCGACCGGGCCGCCTGCCCTCATGTCGCACCAGAGCTTCCAGAGCACCTACTCGAGCTACTCGCACAGCAGCGCGCGCGACACGCAGAGCACCCAGGCCACGAGCAGCTCGACGCTGTTCAACCCCCCGCCCAGCTTCCCGACATCGTCGACGCCCGTCAATGGCGGACCCGTCGAAGCCTCCGACAATGTCCTCAACAAGCGGGCCGACAAGGACACCTCGCTGTTCCAGCGCTGCTTGACGCTGCAGATGCGCTTGCGCTTTATCCCGGGCTTCAACCGCTGGATCGCCGAGGAGGAGGGCAAGGCCGACGACGATGCCGACCCCGTCACGCTGCTATGGCGCACCTTCCGGAGGGGCTACCCGCTGATGGAGCTGTACAACGCCCTCGAGCCCCGCACCCTCCTGACCATCCCCAGCTCCAAGCAGGACGAGAAGAGCCTGAAGAAGAACGAGAAGATGGCCTGCTACAAGTTCATCCAGAGCTGCGTCACCGAGCTGGGCATCCCCCAGGATAGCTGCTTCATCCTCGGCGACCTGTACGGTGACGACACAACCGGATTTGTGAAAGTGAGCATCCAGCAGACTGTGGGGTAGGCCCGCGCTAACAGATCCACACAGGTCACCAACGTCGTCAACAAAGTCCTGGACGAGCTCGTCGCCCAGGGCAAGATTGCTGGCGTCACCGAATCCCTCGACAACGCTGGCGGCGTCGGCACCAAGCGCACCCAGCGCGAGCACATCATCGACGAGCTGGTCAAGACGGAGCGTACCTACGTACAGCATCTGGAGCTGCTGCAGGAGTTCAAGAAGCTGGTAGAAGAAAGGGGTGTCATTAGTGGTGACCAAGTGCACGACATCTTCCTCAATCTCAACGCCCTCCTCGACTTCCAGCGCCGCTTCCTGATCCGCGTCGAACAAACCAACGCACAGCACCCCGATGAGCAAAACTGGGGCAACCTGTTCGTCTTATACAAAGATGCTTTCAAGGTCTACGAGCCGTACATTGCGAACCAGAAGAAGTGCGAGCAGATTGCTATGCGCGAATTCGACAAGCTAAAGGAGACCGGTGGACCAGCTGAGATGCGACAGATGGTTGAGTCGCCGACTTTGCTTGCGTCTTTCCTTTTGAAACCATTCCAACGACTCACCAAATACCCGTTACTGCTTCAGGTATGATTTAACAGCCTCCTCTCCAACCCCTTCGCTAACACAAACAGCAACTTCGCGACAAGGGCGACCTCGACGAAGGACGACGAGAAGACATCTCCCGGGGTATCGCAGCGGCCTCTTCCGTGCTCGCAGGCACCAACGACGCCATTGCGCGCGAAGAACGTGTCGAAGCAGTAGAAGAGCTCAAGACGCTCGTAGAAGACTGGAAGGGCCACAAGATTGAAGGTTTTGGTGACCTTCTTCTACATGGCCAGTATACTGTGCTCAAGGGTGAGAGCATGAGCTCGAAGAACGAAGAGCGAGAAGTAGGCTTTCTACCATGCTCATACCTTCCCCTGCATCGCTAACCCTCCCATAGTACAAGATCTACCTCTTCGAGATGATTCTCCTCTGCTGTAAAGAGATCAACGTCAACAAGCCAAAAAACAAAATGTCCACTCGATCCCTAGTCACCAAAGACGGGAAGCCAAAGTTGCAGCTCAAGGGCCGCATTTTCATGCAGAACGTCACAGAGACCATCTCTCTCCAGAAGCCAGGTGCGACCACCAAAGCCTCTATTCATAACACCCCAGCTAACCTACGCAGGCTCATACACCTGCCAAATCTTCTGGAAGGGCGACCCGGGAATCGAGAACTTCATCATCAAATTCACCTCCGAGGAAACCATGAAGAAATGGGCTATGCAGGTTGATACCCAGCGCCGGATGTGGAAGGACCAGGCGCGGACAAGCGCCAGCACCACAGCCTCCAGGCCATCAGATACCCAGTTCGCATACATGCGCGACCAAGTCTTGGAAAACCCATACCAGGAAGAAGACGAAGAAGATGCTGACGAGGACATCGACCCTGTTACAGGCTACCCCTACTCACGACAGAATACTGGCACCCCCTCAATACGTTCGCGATCAACGACTGGCGAAAGCGAAAGGGTACCACCTCCACGTTTTCCTATGGGCTACAACGGTCAGCCTCCACTAACCCTGCGCACGCAGCAGATACAGGACGCCGCCAACCAAGAATCCTACTTTTCTCCTACGGCCGAGACCCCGATGCAAACCCCAATGTCAACCCACTCTAACGCACGATCAAGCCAATCATCCAACGGCACCTTCCCCTTCCCCCGTCAAGCACCACCAAATGGATATTCTCACGAAGAGAACAATCGTCACACTGCTCCTGCTCAATCGCGCCACGGATCCAGGGGGGAGAATGTTCATCAACAGAGTCGTGCCCAACGTCCATCACTTCCGGCCAATGCCACTCTTTCAGCTCAAGGTAGATTGCGGGCAGCTAGTAGCCCCGATATCAACTCACATCTCCAAGGACAAACTCGAAGAGCGCCGCCGCCATCCCAGCCAGTGCCAGATGTGCCCCCCTTCCCCACACACTACGCGTACAACGCAGCAATCGTGAATCGCAGTAACAGCAACTCGCCCAACAACCCACCGCCGCGCGCTGCAACCCAGTCACCAGCAATCCAACGAGACCGTCTGATCCAGCAACGAACCGCCGCCGAGCTTGCCAATGCGAACAATGAGTTCCACAACACTGCTATGCGCCGCGATCCAAACTATCCGCCAATGCGCACAATGACGCCTGCATCATCGTTTGAGAGAAGCCAGGGCACTTTGACTCCAGCGTCCATGGACTCGCGGAACATGTCGCCTCCACTTGGTGTAGACCCCAATATACCGACACAACTCAAAGTCAAGGTCCATTGCCCATCAGCCGGGAGTTCCATGGTCTTGGTGGTCAGCACAAATATCAGCTACCAGTCGCTCAAGGACCGCATTGATGCAAAACTACAGCGATCGACGTCTGTATCACTAGGCTCCGGCCAGGTCAAACTCAAGTACCTGGATAGCGATAACACATACGTAAGCATCCAATGCGATGATGACGTACAGGAGGCGTTCGAGAACTGGAAAGAACAGCAGAGCAATCTCAACCCTGGTGGCGGACTAGGTGAGATTGAACTTTTCTGTCAACGGTAAATCATGTTGTTCTTTTCACATTTGGCATTACGGGCGCTATACTTTGGCATTGATTCTGGCGTTTACATGGCGTTATCGACTACTATATCCTATGGGAGGGCGAAACATTTACCCCGGCGAACATTTGGGTTGGACTGCTCTCACAAATATCCCCTCTATCGACACATCATCCATCACCACATGCGGGACCAGGCTTGGTGGGAGTCCAGCCGGTCTGCCGTTCATGTTGACGAGATTTCGCGCGCTGAAAGATCATATCTATACCACACGAGTTCGGTTGTTTTCTAGACTGCTTCGTATGCGGTGCCGGCTCTTTTTCTCACTTCTTCCTCTTCTTCTTGTGTTGAAGACTATAGGGTGGCGGGTGGTACGATTGAATGACGCAATGAACTTTCTTCATTTCTCCCCTTTGCTTTCACTTCTTGGTATGAATTTGTAGGTGTATGGTTGAAGGTTTGAAATGTTTTTGTGTTTCCTGCGAGGTAGATGTTTGTTAGATATTGAATATGATGGTTTGGAGCTGTTATGTACTCCTTTGGTGTATTCCATGTACGATGATGCTTGAATCATCCAAGTTGCACCGTTGTGTGGTAAATAGCACCTCGAAATATTCCCTGTACTTCTTGTTACAATACATGTAGAATATTAGAAGTTCATTACTTTAGGCTAGCTTTTCTGGGATGAAGTTACAGGTCAGACAGAATGAACTCCTCCGCTGCCCATCAGTCTGACAGGATGCTACTGGCTAACCGGATCCCGAACCCACTCTTGTTAGCAACCAACAGTAATATGACTAATTTTCTTGGCACGTCGAGACAGATACGTCACGCACGCAACGTTCATAAAATACACAGACCGCCATGTCGCATATATACACGTCACAAAGAGCACTGACCTCGGATGCCCAAGCAATATCTTTGCTGTTCGCACTATCATGGCAATCCCCGTTCTCACGCCTCCAATTTGGTGACGTGGATCCAGACGCCCTAGCCAACGCTATGACATCTCGCATCGCCCGGCAGATTGAGGAGAATAGCATGCTTTTCATGGTCGCCCGCGATGTGAGGAACGGGCATGTCGTATCCGTGGCTCAATGGACGGTGCCTGCTTCTCCCGCTACCACGCCAGAACATGTACAGCAGCCAAGAGAACGAGCTCAAACAATTCAAGAAGAGGAAGATAGAGAGGAGCGGGAGGCATTCGAAGACGAAGTATACTTCAATTCCCTGCCTTCGACTAGCAATCGCGCTCTCATCATGGAATTCACTAGAGGTCTTCGGAATCTGAGGCAGCGTATACTACAGGGACAACCGCACTTCCTATTAGAGAATCTGGCTACGCATCCTGAACATCGAGGATGTGGGTTAGCGGCAAAACTGATAAGCGAAGTCTTGGACATGGCTGATGAACGGGGTGTGGTAACGTACTTGGAGACTGCGGACGATAACAAGGCACGGGGATTGTATGAGAGATTGGGATTTCAAGAGAGGGATAAGGAGACGATTAGGGACTTGAGCAAGTTCGCGAGTACGGAAGACATGGAAAGAGTTGGGGCTGGGATTGAGCATACGCATGTTGGATTTGTAAGAGACCCAAAACAGAGGAAAGACTAATGGATCCTACGCAAAGCAGCACTTCCGAGTCTTGCTATCAAGGAGACTCACACGCATCAGACGTGTGGGTCTAAGTCTCGAACCACTCCAACGCGTCGTCCTTGCCAAATATCGCTCTATATACCCTATCTCCATCTTCCTTGATAACTTCCTCGGTATGTATGCTATGCAAACTATACTCCCTCTCGTCCAAACTACTCCCATCCGTACCGTCCTTAGCAGCTCCAAATATGCGGATGTGGATGTACCCGTTGTCCAAAGCAGGCAGCTTCACCTGGCCGAAGAGATGCAGGCCGTACGCTGTGACGGCTGCGCGAACCGACTCGAGGTCTTCGGCAGTGAAGGATACTAGGTCGGCATCGGAGAGGTGTTTGACAGCGCGAAAGTACTCTGGCTCATGCTCTAGTAGGATTGTTAAAATGGTCGATTGCGATTGAGTGCGGGAAGCAATTTACTGTCATGGTCGCGCCGCAGCTTGATAAGCTCTTGTTTTACGGTGTCCAGGACCGATTTGAAGGCATCGACAGATGCTGGTTGGGGCGCGTGCGCTGGGCTAAGGTCGACGGTTTCTTCTGTTGCCATCTTGGATATTGTACTTGTGGGTTGTGGGTAGCTATGGTAAGTAGTAGAGATGATCAGTGAGGTGACCCAGGAGTTGGAATAACATTAGTTGAGGTACAGCTCTATGCGCTGCCAGGGGTTTGCCATGACGTGGACTGATCAAGGATACGATGTTAGATGCGGCGTGTCGCGTCTCAGCGAGTCGGCGTCGGGCGCCCAGCCTACAAAACTTGGAAGTGCGACGGCGTGAACTTGTTCTTGCATGGCCTAAAGGGTATATCTACTAACGGATCGTCTATTTTTGAGACGCGTGCTGTAATTGAACCCATTGATTGTGTGGTTCCTGAGACTTGAAGGCGTGGACACTGAGATGATTGACGATCATGAATTCGTGGACCCTTGGACCCTGACAAGTGGGGACCCCAAATGACTAAGCACGACATCACGCCCTTCGAAGCTTTCCCCGCTCTGTGCCTCCCCTGCATGTCATCGCATAAGTGACGGTGCATCATAGACAAGTCAGATAACCACCAATCAATCGGTAATCTGCGAAGTTTTCCGACGCATTACTGCGATGCAGCACCGTCTGCGGAGAACGCGGGGCGCGACACCGGCCCGAGAGATGGACTGGGACCACTTAAAAGAGAGCTGGAGATACTCACATGTCTTCATTTGGAAAAGTACAGTCACTTGCAGTTAATGTAAGGTGCGATCTGCTTGAGTTTTCCATCTACGGTACACAAGTAGTTCCCAACGCGAAGTCAGATCGATCCATTCAGTCCTGTGGTCCAAGGACAGCATCGACCAATAACCACTCGGGCGTCTATAGCGTCTAGTGCGACCTTTCTCAGAGGTTCATAAGTCCTTGTACAGTCTACGGTTAGATGCAATACGGTTCTCTTCTTCAACATGTCTACTACCACTACCGTCACAGAAGATCGCATTGAGCTGACGAGGTTCCCAACGACCTCTCATCACGCGTCGAACAAGTCGTTGCCTTCCACCCCACGCCCAGCATCTGTCAGTCACATTCAAGATGAAGGGCCGGATAATTCAGCCTACTCTGTTACAGCGGTACCGGACGGAGGATATGGGTGGATTGTCGTCGCTGGTGGCTTCACAACGAGCTTTTGCAACAACGCGATCATCAATTGCTGGGGTGTACTGCAGGCCGCCTTACTGAATTCAACACTGAAGGATGTTGCACCAGCTACACTTTCTTACGTCGGCTCTCTGGGACTCGCGAGTGGTGCACTATATGGACTGGGTGCCGTCAGTCTGATGAGATACATAGGCTGCCGGGCAACAATTGTACTTGGAAATTTCCTCATGGGCCTGAGTCTGATTGGAGCAAGCTTTTGTACGTCAAACTTGCCGGGTCTTTTTGGCACATACAGTATCGTTGGTGGCATTGGGATGTCACTGAACTGGACTGTCAACAACACAGTTCCTGTGCAGTATTTCAGCGCTCGTCTTGGTCTGGCGAATGGCCTCATCAAGCTTGGCGGTGGGGTGGGTGGTTGTGTCATGGCCATTGCTTTGGAAGCTTTGAATCGAAGAGTCGGCATCGAGTGGACCTTCCGGATCCAGGGACTCCTGACCTGGGCCATCGGTCTTCCTGCCGCCTGGGTGGTGAAGGACCGTGTTCCGCTTAGGAAGGCACCGTTCGTCGATCTATCCATGTTCAGGTCTGCCACCTTTATTGCGACTTTTGTTGCAAGCGCGATTGGTGTCTTCGCACTCTTCGTTCCGCCATACTATCTACCGTTGTTTGCACAATCGATTGGCCTTAGTCCAAGTACCGGTGCTGGTCTGGTCGCAGCGTTCAATGCCTGCAATGCTTTAGGTCGGTTTATCGCTGGTCCTTTATGCGACAAAATCGGTCCACTCAATATGTTCGTCATCGCAATGGCTCTCAACGCTGCGAGTATGCTCGCGATCTGGCCAGTCTCCAGCACGCTGGGCCCGCTAGTACTCTTCGCCATCATAAACGGTGTCGCAAATGGCGCGTACTTCACTACCCAGCCGACTGTAGTCGCTGGTATATTCGGTCCTGGACGAGCTGCAGTGGCTATGAGCATGTCGGTCACAGGCTGGAGTGTTGGTTATCTTATGGGCGCGCCAATTGCCGGTTACTTACTACAAGCTGCAGGTGGTAAATGGGGAAGCGGATCAGGGGTAGGTATTGACGCTTACCGACCTGCCATTTTCTACGCTGGTGGAACTGCGACCATTTCCGCGTTGTGTGTTGTCGTCGCTAGGCTCATCGTCACTAGGAAACTGCGCAAGAGAGTCTGAATAGCTTCGATGCATACAACGATGGGTGTAATCATGAAGTTGTCATTATCACAAGTGCCTAGGGGCACTGGATTTATTTAGTCTATAACCAGTATGAGTCAATTCAATAATCATTGCATCCATCTATCTCGGTCTGTCGATATGACGATACCCTTTGTTGACTACGATCTGATCGCTGTCTTCTATTTTGACCCGTCAATATGATGACGTCCCTTCTTTCCTACACCCTGATCGCCGTCCGCTCATCCCAATCTACGGTCAAGTTTCGCATTTGGCGATTTTCCTTATCCGCATTAAAGGTCCCTAGCATGCGACAACATGGTGTCGCTGCTTCACTATTACCCCCCATGTTTCATATTGCCGTATATCGTACCCTTCATAACGCCATGCTTGATATGGCGTGCAATGGCATCGCCCAAAGCTCATAAACATGTTTATCAATCGCTTGCTGGTGTAATGGCAATTTGTTTTGTGATGCGCTGAATTTCTCACCATTCCTCGTAGTCGGCGATGACGTTGGGAAGGCTCTTGCGCTGCTTGGTATGCACTGAGGTCTTGTGCATTGGCTCAACACCTCCGCCGCATCTGAGCGGGTTGGAGAGAGTTGAAAGAACTCCCATGTAATGTAAGTCGAATGCCTCAGTTGCTCTCACAATCTTTGCGTGAAAGTCAACCAGCGTCTCATCTGCAAACTTCTTCAACGCTTCGCAGTCAACGTTCACCTGCAGCGCCTCAAGAGTATTGTAGTATCCTTGATAGAGATTCTGCATTTTGTGGATCTCATTCTTGATGGACTTTGTTTTGTTGTCCCTTGAATCGCGCCGCTTGTTGGCCTCCCTCCGCCAAAGGTCTGGAGCACCCGGCAATCGGCTCAAGGTGTCGTATGCCGATACCATTTCGACATCTGAGCGATATTGCTCTGCCGATCTTTCGAAGCGGTAATCGTAGTCGCGGTGAAAGTGTGTTGTGATATTGATGAAGGCCTTGATCGTATCGATAAATGCTTGCCATTTCGCAGAAAGAGCTTCAATCTTGCTCAAAGCCGACGGACTACTCCAGTCGCCTTCATCTGTAATCTGAGCAGCTATGGTACGAAGACCTTCAGCCACCTTGACGAAGGCAGGGGGAGCATTGTCGCTTGAGTTCGCATCCAGCCAGTAGTCATCACATGCGCGGACAGCGAGACTGATCTTCCTGATCTGGTCCGAGCAATCTTCGGATTCCTGCTCGGGTTCTTCTTCGAACTTCCCTTCACCATCTTCGACGGTAGCCTGTAGTAGCTCAGTCCGCTCGCGCTCGTCGGCTTCCGCGTTCATCGCGTCCACTTGCACGGATTGCGAAGCAAAACCTGCAATCTTGGCGAGGCGAGTACACATAATATCCAAGAGGTTTCTGGTGCCGGAAGACTCATTCTCAGCGACCGGTGTCTCTTCCCCAATCTCTTCTACATCGCTCGTGGAATCGACATTGACTTCTATCGGGGCAGAGCCGAAGGCATTGCCGCTGTTGTCAGCTCCAGCATGATTAACAGAGTCATCAGCCACAGGCTCTTGATTTTTAGTGGTCTTTGGAATGCTGTCAACCTCACCTGAAGAAGACGCAGCCCTAGTAGTATCATCTTCTACTGGAGGATTGAAGTCAAAACCACCACTCCACCTTCCAGCGTCGAACCCGGACGGAATCGTTGGTACAAAGCCGCCCTTGGGGGGCTTGAAAGTGAAAGCCGAAGTTGCTTGGGGTGCAGCTGACACTGCAGGGGCTAACAACGTAGTTTTGGCTTCAGCAGACTTCGGCTTCTTAGCTACATGAGCTTTGCCGTCCGTTTCGACGTCGTCTTGAGAGACGTTGGGGAATACAGTCTTACATCCAACCTCTGCGGGGGTGATCAATGGCTCATCCGGCTTTCCTTCAACAGTCTGAGGCAACAACAATAGAGACTGCGGAGTGGTTCGAGGCACATCCGGCTCGCGCATTGTAATATTGGATGGGGTGATACTGGTTGTTGTCGGTGCCTGAAAGCTCAGGCCTTTCGTATCAAATATGGAACCATGAGACGTGGAATCGTTCTTAATAGGCAACGCTGGGCGGTTGGAAGTCTGAGGAGTAGACCAGAATTGGTTTGATGCAGTAGCATACGTGTCAAAAGGGCCAGCGGGATTTCCGGTGGAAACCATAGTAAGTGGCTCAGACCGTTTGCTGATGTCTTTCCATATTTGGGAATTATCGGCTCCAGACATTTCCGTATCTTTCATTGATATTGCAGGATTGGTCGCGAGTCTTCCGGCGGGCATTGTGTCCACCGCCTCTTTTTGGACAGTCAAGTTAGAATCATTATCCGACATCTCCACCTCTTGCGACAGCAGGTGATAAGAAACACCATCCATGGCCGTATCGTCTTGTACGTGAGAAGCCTTGGAATCTTGGGAAGGTGCGATTGGCAGGTATCGAGGATACGTTACCGCAGCAGTTGTGACCCCAGAAGTGCTGGCATTGTTTCTTACCAACGGTTGATTGGAGCTGGCCAGAGTTTCTTGAAATGTGTCTGTATCTTGTCGGTGAGCTGGATCATCTACCTGCATAGGCTCTGTTTCTTGGACAGGCTCTACTGCTTGAGATTCGAACGAAGGAAGTGACTGGAAACCGAGAGGCACACTGGAATCAACTGACTGATTGCCAGACTGATCTTCGGTGTCGCATACAATACTTTCACCAGCATCATCATCATCGCTACTGTTGTCAGACTTTGGGGAGCGTGGAGATACGAGCTCCTGATTGTCATCTTCGAGGAACTCATCAGACAACCCGTTGCCTCTAGCGTCGTCTTCGCTGTCATCCGATGCCGTGTCGTTGCCTCCAGCCAGGTCAAACAACTCGTCGGCGGTTTGCGAATCGAGCCCATGATCACCCGGGTTACGATCAGGGAGATATTGCGTTCCAAGATGTTGATCATAGTATTCACGGAAGTTTTCCTCTCCGGTGAGATCTTGGTCGCAGACGTTGGTCCAGTGCTTATCCCACCGGTACAACCTTGTGCACTCATCCCGGACAAGCTTCATTTGTTCGTCCATAGATTCCTCAGCGATGACCCAAATATCTCCTTCTCGGGTTTCAGCTACAGTTCGAGTAAAGAAGCCGGCCAATGGATCATCTGGTAAGAGTCTGCCGGATATTGAGTCGAGGGCACAGCGTAGTTCGCACCGCAAAACCGATCGATCGGGGTTGCGATGAGCGTATCCAGCAAAGTTCCGCTCGCCAGTCATATCGTTCTCGTGCAAAAGCTGCCAATTCGTCGTCCACTCCATCAGATCCATCTCAAAGTGATCCAGCTTATCAAGGTACTTGTAGTAATCGGGTTCATCGGTCCAGAGCCGTGTCTCCCAATGCGCCGCTAGTGTGGTGAGTTGAATGTCTGACAGTTCGTGCGAGCTGTCCATATTAGTTTTGGCGTCATCGATCAAGGTTCGAAGTGTCGTCCGGTGTTCCCTTCGCTTCTGATCATGGACATCGAGGGACCCGTTGAACTCTTCAGAGTTCAGTAGACGCTCGTGTCTACAGTCTTCTTCCTTTTGCTTCACTTGTTTTCTCAGTTCAGCAATAGCCTCTTCTGAGCATTCCTCGATAAGCTCGCTGAATAACGAGTGGCCCGTCTTTCCAGTGTTCTGAACAACCATGTCCCAACTATCACGGCAGGTTTCCACGGTATCCAAGTCGTCGTACAGGTTCTCTTTGTAATTGTCGAAGCCTCCACCTTTCTCTCTTGCCTGTAGAAGAAGCTTCTCCTGCCATCGATCGATGATGTCATCCGGAATATTCGTATAGTAAGGCAGATATTTTGCCACACAGTCCTTGAGATAAGCCTTCTTCGTCGCATAGCCTTCTTCCTCGTCCTCATACTCATCTTCCGAACCGATATCACTGTCATTATCGCTGGTGTATGGTTCATCAATGGAGTGGCGCGTCTCTTGCCTGTCATCGTGTTGGGTGGATGCACCGGAAACTCCTGTTTCAAGGCGTTGTCGTATGAAGTCAGAAAATCTAGCTTCGCCGGTCATATCGATGTCCTCATCAGGGTAACCATTCCTATATTCAGCCCACAGATGTAGAGTCTCGCATTCTCCTTCAGTATGCGCAACATGCTCGATAACATTGAAGCCTTGCTCGCAGGCTGCAATCCAGTTCTCGTCCTCCCATTTGTGAACAACCTGTGCGATGTCGAAGTTCGATAGCGGGTGGGACATGGGAAGTATAGCTTTCATCGTTTCAAGCTCGTCAGTGAGGAGTCTGCGCAAAGCTTGACGATGCTCGTCTTCGGTAGACACAGGTTCGTTCAACGATCCGGTGTGCGCGGTGTATTGGAGCTGGTGCGCGTGATACTTTTCGATATGGTCGACAAAGAACTGTCGGCCAGTCCGCTTGTCTGAGCTGTCGTCTTCAGCTGATTCCCAGTTCGTGATCCACTTTGTCAGATCCTTGTCGGCAGCGTCGATGCTCTTGATATATGCGGAAACCCTGTCAACGTGCCCGAATGAGACATCCCAAAGTCTTATCTCCCAGGACGCTGCAAGCGCATCGGCTTTGAGATTTGACATCTGATCCGTGGAGTCAAAGAACGTGCATATGTCCTGAATATGTTCTTTGATGAGCTGACAGTTGATCTTCCTCGAGTATCCTTCATTGACTCCCTTCTCTTCTGTGCTGGGGTGTTGTTGCTGGGTGATTGTGTTGAAAGACTCTGCTACCGTGTTCATGTCAGGTGGGCCCATGTTAGCAGTCAGGCTAGGGTCGTAGTCTTGACCGCGCTGCTTTCTTGGACGCAGTGGCTTGGGCATGAATCTGGGCTTGGGCGCGTTTGTTGCGTCAGACTGTTCGAAGCGGAAGTCGAATGATTGGCCCTGCGAAGACGACATAGTGGCAGATTGGAAGCTGACGTATGGAACAGGAATGTGGGCTACTACGGCGTATGTATGGAAATAAGTCTGTAGCGATAATGTCAGGAGTCTCGTTTTGATATCGCCATGATGCGCGTTCAAATGCAGGCTACTGGGGAGTGGTTTTGCTAGGGTCAGAGTACTCACATCGCTCTGGCGCCTGTGTATAGCCGCAATCGCACTGCTGTCCTTT